TACAACCCGAAACTTCAGAAGTTCTATTTTTCGAGTGCACCAATGTGTCCTTAAGGTTTCTACCTCGTCGATATACCACGCGTGGTGATACCGGAAAAAGGGTGCGTAGTTTATCGCTTTGCTGCAAAATACTGTGATGTTTCCTGAGAATATTGTTTAGATTTGGAAGGCGGGCTGAATATGTAACACCAGGTTTGCGTGGTATTAATGCAAGTCCAGGCGTGCTCACTTGGCTGCCACGCTGTGTGTAGGCTTTCGGCGGGTTCCTGAAAAACTTTGTTTCTTTGATTAATTGGGTTAAGTACGGTTCATTCATCTGCACATATTCGTTTATATCCTCCTCGGAGACCACGTACGATGTTGTATAGTGCCCGTGTTGTATATTCAATAACGTGGCTCCTGATTCTCGCAGATGATGATGATACCGTGTCTCTAAAGCTCATAAACAAAAATACTACATGTACACGGGGCGAGACAAACAGTGGGAGGATTTCTGGAGCACAAACGAGCACGTACCACGTGACACTAAGCGTCGTACCGCGTTCCACGCGGCGGCGTGTGTTTCCAGAACACCTCCGATTGGATACATTTCGTTTCTTGTGCATTAATAAGACAGGTAGGAAACGCCAGAAAGCCAAGGTGGATTGGTGTAGAGGTTAGCACACCCGACCGGACATTGGGAGGCCCAGAGTTCATATCCTGGCTCCGCCGTTTTTTGGCTTTCGGCGGGTTCCTGAAAAACTTTGATTCCTTGATTAATTGGATTAAGTACGGTTCATTCATCTGCACATATTCGTTTATATATATATATATATATATATATATATATATATATATTAAATAGGCGTAGATACAACCTTTCATTTGACATGTTTCTGAAAATAATTGTACATCGAAAGCTAGCTCGATTCAAACTTGGCCCATTATTGTCAAAGGTGCAAAATTCAATTGTGTTTATTTCATAAAATAATACAAAAGAAAAAAACACACTTCAAGAGGACTTCAACCCTTCTAAAGAAGTCTTCAAGCAGTAAAAAAAAGAAAGTTATTGTTTTGGAAAAAAAAAAAAAAATTAAACGTTGCGAGACTTCAAAATGTGTCACTCGTGAAAACTACAAAAATCGTAAGACCTACCCTCTGCCCTTTCAAAACCCAAAACTAAGAAAAAAAAAGCTATATTATATTTATATGGGCGGTTCCATTTGGATTCAGTCAACGAGGTGCAGTCGTATTTTTTTATTTTGCTTTAAATTTTTATATTTCGTGGTGCATGTTCCAAGAAAAAAAAAAAAAAATCTCAAGAACGACGAGGTTTTGACGGTTGTCGTGTGTGGCGTTTTTGAATCGCTCTCAGTCTCAAAGTATTCCAAAGAGAGCTTCTATATTTTTTTCATTGTGATATACAGGGTGTTTCAGAGAACGCAGGCCAAATGGCTCCTGCGAAAACTAAGCAACGCGCAGAAAAAAGGTTGATGCCGTGTTGGTGTCTGCCCAAGAGCCTATTTAGAAAAAAAAATAATGACGTTTGGAAAAAAATAGTTTTTGTTTTGTTTTTTAGACAGTAACTTTTTATTTGTTTATTTTAAGGCTTCAATTAGAAACTTACTAGGCATCATCAATAACCCCTATATCAATCCTGTTTAGACAAGTATAAAGCGTGCCGAGCATTTTACCGTTTTGCAAAACCCACTTAATACGAAAGAAACACACAAGAGGACGAAACAGACGACACAGCTTTCGACTTGCAACTACAGCCGCCCCAGTAAATCTGTAGTTGCAAGTCGAAAGCTGTGTCGTCTGTTTCGTCCTCTTGTGTGTTCCCCTCAATTCTGACGCGTACTCTGGGTTCGGATTCTTATCCAAGCGCATCTTGGCGGCAGCTGTCCTTCCTTCCGACAGCCCTCTAATTAAATCAAAAGAAAAAAGAAAACGTGTATTAACCGTCAGATGCCGCTTAAATTGATCAATCATGGGCGTTCTCGAGCCTGGAATAATTTTAGCATAGAATTGGTATTGGGAATTAAGCGAGTCTTCACTAGGTTGGACCTTCTGTCCAGTAGACATCTTGCATCCCAATAAGTCAGCATCCTCTCCGTTCACCCCTAAGCTGAGACTGCGGCGGAAGTCCATATCTCTTTCGCCAGGTCATCACTCTCCCGCCCATACCCACGCACAGAGGGCCGGGCCAGCTGATGAAAGCCAGGCGGCTGCGAGCGATCCGGCGGGCACGTAGCTCCCACTGCAGTCTCAGCTTAGGGGTGACACCTTTTTCTGTAGTCATTTTAAGACGTCACATTGGAATGAACTGTTTTCACGTTATGATCTGATGGGCGCAGAGAGTAGTGCAATGTACGCTTGTGAAGCTCGTGCCCACAGTGCCTTCAACGTTTTGAACGAGCAGAATAGTCGACCACCCCCTTCAAACGCATTAAAAAAAAAACAAAAAAACAAAAAAAAAAACGGTTGCTTGAGTTTTTGCATGGTGGTCAGCGATTCTTCAAAAATTGTAACGAAATACATTGGCCCATGAATGTCCCGCGATACAAGGAATGCACAGGAAATGTATTCCACCCGGCAGGCACGTAGCCAGGAAGGGGGGGGGGGGGGGGGGAGCCATGGGCCCTCCCCCCCTCCCGAAATCTTTCATTTTCCTGGAACCTCCTCTCCCCCCTCCCTCTCATACAGCATTTTGTCATAGCTCCTCCCCCCCCCCCCCCCCCCCCCCCCCCCGAAACAAAATCCTGGCTACGTGCCTGCCACCCGGAGTGAGAATCCTGGTTTTGGGTGTCGTCGCGCTCCAGATCAATTCCAAAATATAGAATAAAAAAAAAAAGTATGATATTGAAAGGGAAATCGTGTTTATTTTTATCGAAATGTTCAATATTCAAAGAGCGAGGCTGAAAACATTTCATACATCGTGTGTAACAAGAGCGATGAGCCCGCTTCGGCCTCCTTTGGCGTGAGAATGTGCCAGCTGACCTGCATCTTTGAGCGAATAAAATCAATTTTAGTGCGCATACACAAAAAAAAAATAATAATAATAAAAAAAAAAAGAGCGTGGAAGAAAGGCGAGGTTCAAAAGCTGCGCGCCTCAAAAGTTTGTGGATTTTTTTTTTTTTTTTTTTTTTTTTCACGGGTTCGCATGGGCGGCGGTTAGCGGCACGCACCGTTTGCCTAGTTAGGGAACCAGGGACAACCGAGATTGATTTTGCCGGAGAACGGCAAGATTTTCCCACCGTCGAGAGAAGTGTCTTTGTGCGACGTCTGTCGGCTGGACAGCACAAAAAATTGAACCAATGATAGAAGACGGATGTATGATGTAGTTATGTCATGGCCAGTGACGGATATAGAAAAGGGGGGGGGGGGGCGGGTCCCCCCCCCCCCCCCCCCCCCCCCCTTTTCTGAAGACACCTACACTCGCCCCTGGCATCGGATCGGCGTCTCGCTGCCGTGCGCTGCGCTTTCACTTGCAGAGTGTCCGCTTGACGATGGCGGGCTGGTCTCAGTTGGAAACTGAGACACGTCCCTGTTTCCAACTGGTCTCAGTTGGAAGCAGATGCGAATTTAGGAAGGGGGGGGGGACTGCCCCCCCCCCCTACCCCCTAAGCTCCCCAAGGTCAACTTTGTTTCGACAGCATCATGATATACACCAACCAAAAGTTTAGCAAATATTGGGTCAGCAAAAGAGATTTGGACAACGTTCCGACCGTAACGTCATATCTCAAGACCACCACCCTTCCCCTCCCCTTCCACCCACCAGGCCTGACCCATAAATTCGCCCCTGGACGGAAAGTAGACTCAATTCACCTGGTGATTGGTCCAGTTGCGCTGATTTTCACCAGGGAAGGAAGTATTACAATAATAGTATTATTTTTAACCTTGAAAGTATTAAAAAACAATGACCCTGATTTAATCTGACGTACTGTTAACTACGTTTATTGCTAGATAATATAATCTCTGCTTTCTGGGCAGAGGGCGTGGATTACACGAGAGCACTGCAACTCGATCGGTTGGCGAACTCCCAACGAGATGCTGACCCACTGATCTCCATTATTGCACCGACCTACACCACGCAGCGATCTCATTTCCCTCGACCGTCTCGGCGCCAGCGGTGGGTGCTGCTGCTGCGTTGCGGCAACACTTAGTAGGTAGAGTAGGTCGTGGTCCACAACACCAATTGTTGAGGGGCCCTTAACTTAAAATATTTTTTGTTTCGTTTCTTTTTTTTTTTTTCGGCTTCCCCTCCTTTTTGCATTTGTTTTATTTCACACCCGCGCGTGCCTTGTGAACAACGTGCACAAATTAAGAATGCGCCAAAGCCCGGCTTTCAGCGCGACTTTCTAGCTTCAGTAACAGGGTCTCGTCGGTCTCGTGAGCACGCCGAGCCAAAGCGCGACAGAAGGCAACGCACGCGTGAACGGGTAGAATTTGAGGGAGAGGAGGAGATGAGAGCGCGCGGGGCGTCGGGACACCGAACTCTGGTTAGCCGCAAAGCTAGCTAGCTGCCTTTGTCTCCACTCGCTGTTCGTACGCGTTGAAACGCCGGACGCCGGCGTTTGAGGATTGTGTAGAGATAGAGGCGGCTGGCTTTCCGTTTACCCACTAATCGTTCCAGCCAGAGCTCGGTACCCCCGGCGTCCCCGCGCGCTCTCATCTCCCCCTCCCCCTCAATTTCTACCCGTAAAGTTTCGACCATAGTTTCAACACCGTACTTAGTAGGTTTTAATAATAATAATAATCTTTATTTGCACAAACAGGTGTTTTCCTGGGGGCGTGCGAGGCGAAACAGAAAGGCGGAAGCCCGTACGCTGGTGCGTCTGTTGGCCCAACCCCCAGTGTCCCCATGGTACATGCTTGATGATGCTTGATGGCTGTGTCGGTCCCTCCTTTCCTTCGACATTTTCCCCAACATCCTGACGCGCTCTCGGGCTTCGTCACCTTCATGCTATTCTTGGAGCTAGTGGTGTATTCATCCTTAATTTGCTCAGATTTTCTCTAAGCGTTTATATGCTCTTCGGGAGCATATACACGCAGTGGCTCTAGTCTACACTAAAAATTTACACCCCCGTCAAAAAAAAAAAAAAAGTGTTGCACCGACGGTCACGAATCCAACGCAGCTGTGGGCGCGCAGGTGCGGTGGTGCGGTTTCAAAAAGACCGAGTTAACGGACGCACCCACAGATGACGCCACCATCGGAAGAAGTGGAAAATGGCCTCCGGTAAACTCGGCGTCATCAACTCGTAGCCAGCGTATCGGCGCAGCCAGCGTACGCACACCTGCTTGCGAGCGGAGGAGCTGGGATAAGGGCACAGCAGCGCGGCCTCGGTCATCATCAGCCTCGCTCTCTCCTAACGTCAAGCTCCGACGCTTCTCCCGGTTCGCATCACCTGAACGCCGCGGAAAGCTTGCTTTGGCGGGGAACAGAATCCCAGCACTATGAACGAAGCGGACACACCTCTTCGGAAACGCAGTATGAACCACGGGGGCTTCAACGCTTCGACGTTCCCGTTGGGCGACACCAAGATCTTACCAGGTCAGTTGGAGCTTTGAAGACGTTTGGGGTCACCACGATTCGTGGCACAACGGTCCGTCGGCCTCTGGCCAGCCTGAGTCGAACGGTCCAACTCTGCTTCGCGTTGTTGACGTTCGTTCTCTTTATCCGTACTCTTGCACTCTTGTTGCTTTCCGTCGCACAAAATTGTCGTTGGAGCATGACCGACGTTAATGACATTTTACATTATAAAATCGCTAATTGTTATTATTATTATTTTTTTTTTTTTTTTGCAGGCTAGCGGGTCAATGTCAGGGCTATTTTGTTCTTCCTCAAGGACGTTCTCGTTTGCGTCCCGTTGGCGAGCGGGAGTTTATTGACAGGCGCAAAATCGGAATGCATGACCGAAGTTCCCTGAGAACTCGTCGGATCGGCTCGTCTTAAGGGCAAATACAGCAAAGGCGAAAATTAAAATTGGCTGAAAAATATTTTCCTCTACTAATAATGAAGGGTGCTGTAACTCTGTGAAACATGGCATCTCAGCGAAGAAATTTCGGGGCATATTTCTACTAGAGCTAGGAAATCAGTGGGCAAAATATCGGAGGCGTATCTCCAGAAGTTACGCCATAAACCCACCGTTTAAGAGGTGGGGATAGCAGAAACAATGCGGAGGAAAATGAACCTGTCGAGCGAACAAGTCTATTGCGAGCACAAGAGCGATTCCGGCGATGTAGCGGTCACTACGTTTTTCTTTTTTTTCTTTCTTGGGGAGCCGGTGTGGTATGTTGACACTTGGCGTCGGAGGTCGTTCACTTTGCCGTGACGGGCCGCCGGGATAACGGCTCTGTTTCAAGTCCGGTGTGAACCGAGAGTGCAACTTGAGCAATCGCGGGCTTCGCGTTCATCTTTCCACAATCGCGGTGAACGGCTTGACCCGGTGATATGGTTGATATGGTTTCGTATACGGCGACCACAGTGCCTGTTTGAAGAGGAAAGGTCGCCGGCTTTTGTGAGCACCGAGGAAAGGGAGATAAGGTCCCCAGCGTAATCCCATAATGGTATCGCTATTTTGCATACATCTGTTCGGGAATCAGGAAATGAAGCGTATAAAACCTTGCCCCGTTGTCTGTGTCGGGACAGTTCAAGGAAGATGCAGTGCCTGACCTTTCTAAGTTAATTGTACCTTCTAAGGAAAAAATGAGGTAAAGGCCACAGGAAAGTAGTCTGACTTTTCATTCTCTACTTTTCATTGTCTCACTCTCACTTTTTAAATTTTTTTTATTAGGGGCATACACTATTGTGTGCGAAGGAAGGGAACAAAAATGCATCACTTGTTGCCGTTGCATTAAAAAAAAAGTTAATGGCTACAAGAAGTTTCAACTAGCACACAAACCAGAATGAGCAACAACGCGCAATTGACATGGAGTGTGATATGGTTTCAAGTACAAGTACTTTCGGGTTGGTAGTCAAAAATCCAGTTTAAATGAGTCTTAGAAGCTGTAGGTGCATGATTTTTCAAAGCTGCTTTGAACGTGAAGCACCAAACGTTTTTTAAAACATTAATGTCTCCGAGATTATTCAAACCTATACATAGCTTGCAAGTGCCGCCATTGCTAAGTATACAGTTATTTCTACTTACTGATTATTTCTTCGAACTGCAACTTCTGCCGTGTCAAACTAACACGACAAACCGAACGCTTGCTTTCGGCTTATAAAATACTGGTATAGCCACGAATGACGTCACATGCAAGCTATACATAAAAGTGTGTCCACCTGAATGCACTCATTAAAAATGTCCCATACATCACTCTAAGGGACATAAATAGGTTATGTGATTTAGATATCAGCTGAATATCAGTATGGCAGTATTACATCAAATGGGCTCCAGGTTATGGCAGCAGCTTTCCAGGAATGGAATATGATGATTATAATTTAATTGAGAGCACCTGTTAACTACAAACTGCCCTATGTTGTAGCCCAGGAGTATTTCATTCACACATAAGTGGGACATGGCAGAATCATGACAGTGGTGTTTTTTATGTTTTAGTTACACAGGTTAGTGCACAGAACTTGCGTGCATACGCAGTGCGACACCTCAAGCTATTTGGTGGACACAAAGCTTCGGGGCTCCCTATTCTACAGGGTGTCTCAAATAGCGGCCAGGCTCTTTAAATCAAGCACAAAAATCTGTCTCTTAACCTATCGCGCTACGATTGTGTGCAGCATTGCCCACAGGTGGTGTATTTTTTCTATAAAATTTGCAAAGAGTGAACTTACCTGAGTAAAAAATAAAAAAAAATAAAAAGGCTTAACTCCTATGTAAATGCAGCGAACCGGTCTTCAAACAATAGGGCGCCCTATTGTTTGAAGAATGGTGGCTTTGCTGTAAACTTGTCCAGTAATATTTTGGTTGACCAAAACACTGAATTACAGAGTAGACATAATTAAATATGCACAGGTTTTAATATAGCACAAAGGTAGCAGAAGCTGATAGGAAGAACTCTGAAATGAACCCCTTGGAAACCTCAGAGTGGCTACCCATGTTACAGGGGCTGAAGATTTATGGGGTCAGTTGAAGGGACCATGAAACTGGCAGTGCAAAGGCCAAGGACCCTTTTCTCACTGCTGCAATTATCTCATTTGGGCATTATGATTCCTTCAAAAGTGGGCTACAGGGGTTTCAGGACAGAACAAGGTAGTTGAGGAGGAAAAAAGAATGTAAACCTCATAGATTTTTTTTGTTTTGTTAATCTACACCATTGTACATGAGCAAAGTTGATATCCATCTCGAAATAATGTAAAGAGATTTTTCTGGGTACTTTTTTAGCCAGGGTGGAAAGTTACATGGTCCCTTTGAGCTTGGAGATTCGTAAAGTGAACTGGCAGTTCCTAAGGCGCAATAAGGTTCATTGGCTAAGCACTATCTGTTTATCCCTCTAGTCTATGGCGTAAATAGTTGCTATCTATGCCCAAGGACATGGCGTCTCCTTGTTGATGGATCGTTTGATATGAGTAGAAGGTCAATAGCTGAAGTGGTTTGCTTCTGCTTGGGAGATACATACCAGATTGCGCTTGTGAAAAAATATGTCGTATTCTTGCTTTTTTATATTCACCGGATCAAAGTTTTTAAGCATGCTAGCAACACTGAGCTTTACTGTTTTTGGTTGAATGTGTTTGATTTCACAAACCCTTCTCAAAAAAGAAACTGCCCAGTGGAGTATGACTAACACTACCCAAATGTGTTGGAATGTCTGCTGGTATTTTGTTTTTTCTCACACACTGTTATGTCCCATTTATGTTTCCAAAACAAACTCCTGCAATGGAACTGTGACTCCATTATCTAAGTCCTTGGCTGTTCATATCCACACATTAATACTAGACTTCTGCTAATAAAATATGGATTAGTGCTTGTGAGAGTTATTTGTATGTATGTTTGTTTATTTAAAGTGCCCAATAATAACCACACTAAACAAGTACCTTGTTTATACATCTTCAGTAAATATCAAAAGCCCTGTATATTGCATGAGGATTCTTAGTCATTGTGGCTAGTTCTGGACCCATACATGGATACATAAATAAGTGATGCAGGTTTTAACTAGCACTCGTGCTAGTGCTGCACAAATAAAATTCAAATAAAAAAAATTCCCGGTTCGTCACATTTCTAAGCTATGCTTCTTTGGAGTTAGTACAAATTATTGTTTTTTCTTTTATGTTTGGGCTTATGAGTTCCAAAGTATTGTACCAGCATCTGTATTAAGCATTGACCATATGCTATTGCTATAGGGAGGAGTTTTCAAATTATTTGTAAGAGCAGAAATATATTTGATGGGAGTGGAGCATTATTTAATACAATACTATGCACCAGAATAATTGTGTTGTAGTCTTGTAGTATAATTAATGGCATTAGTCATTGCTTTGAAATAAAGGAGTGGAATGAGCATTATAACTTGTAAATGATAGCATCCTCAATGCTAGCTTTTGAAGCGTCCTTACTGGTTGTAAAAAAAAATTTATGTGAACCCCAAGGTTCAACATAATTTTGTAGGTGACAATGAAAAATGCAGTAGTAGATTAATTTAATTTGATCTGGAATTAAAGTGATGTCTGGTTTTAAGTAAGGTATAGACTGCATATTCCAGTTTTTTACATACTGCTCAATGTGCGGTTTCCAGCTGAAGAAATAATCAAGGATCACTCCTAGATATTTTATACTTTCTACCTTTTGAATGAACTTCTTTCTCATATTTGTGTTTTCTACCAGTGTTGGAGTTACCTTATGGGGGTGCGGTGGGTAAAAGGGGGAAAGAGAGAAACCAGGAAGATATTAGGTTTATTTTAAGCCATTTCAACTTTCAGGAGCCTAACTTACACAATGCCTGAGTGCTGCCTGTCAAGATTCTGTTCCTATGACAAATAGAACAATAAAACAATGTAATTCTTTTCTTTTTTGTTTGTTTTCTGCTCCTCTCTCTCTCTCTCTGATATAAAGGTATATTTCCTCGTTCTTGCCCCCAGACACATCTTATAAATGTTTGGGTGAACCCAAAGCTCCATTTTACATCTCTATGAATAAAAACATTACTGTAATGCAGTTTTATACCTGATTGTGGCAGAAGTTATGGAAAATGCAAAAACTTTTGTTTACTTTGAAAAACATATCACCAAATCGGCAGTGAAAAATCAGATTCCTTGACAAACTCTTGTTTTAATAGGAAAATTCCTTTTTTGGTCCCTACTTTTCAAGCAGGTAACAGGGAAAACTTTTGTTCACTTAAAAAAAATTTAAATGAAAAATAACATTTTGCCACCTCCTTCAGTTTAAAAACAAAACCCTTCCTTTGGCTTTTAAATATAAACAATGAAAGTGACAATAATTTTAGGTGATGGTAACTCTGAATGACCCACAGTACGTCCTACTGGTGAACTTGTGCCAAAAGAAAATAGAATATGTGGTGTCATGGGTGTTGGTGTCGGTGTAGTAGCAGGATTGAGTGCTGGTGAGACTGATCAATGCAGCATGCTATGTCTGCTTTTATACATGCTTTAGTCTCCAGAAGTTTCTAAACTAGAACACACAATAATTGACAAGAATGCAGTGGAACTTTCTAGACAAGCAACCAATAGTAGGGGGATTCAATCCCAATTCATCCGCATGAGAGCCCGCATGTGCTCCCAACGCGGCCATGTATGAATCCCATGACCAACAGAGGGTAGATTTGGCCTGCAGTTGAACTTACGCAGTGCAATGGAAGATCTGAGCAAGGCCTTTACTGCATAGAGAGGCTTACTTCTTCCTCATGATCTTGCTAGTAAAACACCTCTCAATATGAAACACCATGAGTTAGTTTTAAAGGGCCACTGAAAAGAAAAAAAAGATGTTGTTTTAAACAGTCAGATTTTAAACAGCGTGTAAAAAAAAAAAAAAAAAACTTTGTGCGAAAAAAAATTTTTTTTAGAGCAATATTGACGTCAAGAGATTTATTTGAAATTCTGCATGCAAAGTCTATGACGTCATGGAATGTTCATTCGGTCTTTCCACCTCTAGTGAAGGCGAAGCTTATCCACCTCTACTCCACGTGCCCGAAATGTTGAGAGATAAAACAAGTATAAAGGACGTGACTACCAACTAAATTGCGTCTCGCGCCATTAAAAAAAAAAAAAAAAAAAAAGTAAAATTAATTTTTTTACTTTGTGTCTCAACCAAACTGTTAAAAAAATTTTTTTTTTTTTTCTTTTCTTTTCAGGGGCTTTTTAAAGGGAAACTGATGTGTTTCTGTATTTGAGAAAAAAAACAACACTTAAATCGTCTTTATTCGGCCTCCAGGATTACAAATATCAAAACTATATTTCAGATTGATTCGCAAAGTAGCCACAACAGAACTTTCAAAATAGCGCTGAAGCCCCTCCCTCCCATCACTTTGGGTGCGAGGAGGGAATCACGACATATTATACAGAGATCTCAACATTTCTACGCTTTCTGCAAATCTTACCCGACCAGTCTGCACTGCACATGTTTCCTCTCGAGTGGCATGTGCAAGGCAACTGAAACCTCTGGGTATGACGTCACACACAGTGGATGGTTTTTTTTTCTCATGTCTATTGATACATTCTGGTCAATTGCTTGTGATATTCAAATTCACAGGACAAAAATACCTTATAATTACGGTTCAAAGTTTTCGGTTTAAACCCATAAAGACCAATAGAAGTATGCCGAATCCATTTTCGTAAAATTGGTTTTAACCGAAAAAGGTCAGTTTTTAAGTTCGGCATTTTCGATATAAACCGATAAAAGCCGATAAAAGTACGCGGAATCCATTTTCTAAAATTCAGTTTTAACCGCAAATGGTCACTTTGACCTTCCAGTCGTACCACAGAGCCGTGGCAAAAAAATGGAACGACAGTGCCTATAGAATGTATGGAATACACGGATGGCATCTCAACGTTTTGGTTTAATGCGCGCATCATCGATCGGAACGTGAAGTCTGAAAGGGGGGGGGGGAGGGGGCCCATGATTTCGCCATGTAGACGAGCGTGTTTTGAAACTCGTTGTAAGGAAGACTGACTTGATGCAAGCTCTGCAAGTTGTGTTGTGCTTCAAAACATTGCGCCGTGTCTATTTTGGCTGTCAGAATTGATTGATTGGCCGATTTTGGCTCAGGCAGCGCTTCATCTCCTCAGCCTGCGAGTGTCCAGCGTTAGCATTGAGAGGGCATTCTCGAAGCTCGGGGTCATATTAACAGGAAAGAAAGAGTGCAGATCAACGAGGAGAACCTGGGAAAGTACACGTGTGTGTACTATAATAAGATCATGTAATCCTGATGTACAGAAGGTGAAGTTCCACGTTTTTTCGGCATAGGCTGACTTGTTTGTACTTCTGTGTTTTTTTTCTTGTTTCTTTTACATTTGCACACATTTTCCAAATAAAGTGTCCATATATTTTTCAATCTATCTGTGCCGTTATTCTTTGAGTGATCACAAATATCAGGGCTAGAAGGATCATCTGATCTGGTGTCCGTTGGTGTTTATTTTATATTTATCAAAAGAAGCCGATAAACTTTTGTAAGCATAAATATACGCCGAAAAAAAACCAAAAAAAAAACACGGAAATTGATTCTTAAAATAAGCACCAAAAAAAGTACGCCGAATTTTGAAAAAATAGAAACCGAAAATGCGGAACCCTACCTATAACTTACCTCTCTTTTTTTTTTTTTTTTAAGAACTCTTTTTATCTTTTTTTAATAAGGTTGAGGAAAACATTTTTATGTTGTGAAAGATTGGTTCCACTGAATTATGAATTTTGTTAGCATTTTCTTTTTCTTTTTGTATCTTTTCATGGATGAGAAAATCTATGCTGGGCATTTAATTAAGCTTTTAGCTCTGAATGATCGTGCCTGCTGCATTCCTGAATTCTGAGAGAAATTTGTTTTAATCTTAATTATTCTGTTCCTATTTGGAGTGGATGTAAGGGGTGAAGTGGAGTTTTATCCACCAATCATCGAACTCTAATCTTAACGTGCTTGAAGGCCTAAGCCCAGTGGTTAAAGTCTCCCGTAAGTTGAGGGGGGTCCCTACAAGAACGTAAGGGGGTGGGGGGGGGGGGGGTTCTGACGAGATCTACTAGTTGCACATAAAAGAAACCCCCCTGACGACCCTATTCACACTGTACCTGCAACCCTCAAATTGCTAATCCCCAAATGACACACCACTGAAAACAAGCTATTTTATTGCAAGGTATGATTGTGATTTTACAAATGCGGGGGCTGTAGGAGGGTCTCAGACCATCCCTTAGATTCAGTGAGGGGTCCGAGACCCCCTGAGACCCCCCAGACTTTAAGCCCTGCCTAAGCCTCCTTCCAATCTTCACCCACTGACAGTCAGGCCTGTTTTCTGAGTTTTCTGAAGTACTCGCACACTTGTGAAGGTAACTTGTCTTGACTCGCTGCCTTTTCTGGTTATGCCACTTATAGGCAGTGCAAATTTCCAGGACTAGCAGGTTACTAAACATCCATTCTTCACCCAGAAATGGCACTGTTATCAATAATGAATGTTCTACATTTCAAGGTTAAAAGTTCATTTCTGAGCTTTTACAATGTCGATGTCCCCCTGGTAAAAAAAAGCAATGAAAAGAGGTTGATGCAACCAGAGAGTCGGTGGTAGGCAACATCAACAGCAGCAGCAAGAAAAGCACCAGCAAGCAGCACAGTGAACACTAGAAAGATTCAATATTCTTACGGTAACACTTATACCAGGTGTTTCAGCAAAGACTTCAAAACATCCCTACCAATTGTGAATAGTAAGAATATCATCCGCATTTCCTCATTGCCGACCTTGTGCCTGAGGCACGAGTAGAAGCTTTAGCTCACCCCAACGCTTCTCACTTGCTTGAAGTCTTCCTAAAATTGACTGTTTTAGCAGTTTTCAATGATGATCAGCAAATTTCTAATTGGAAACATATGTTTATTTTTATTTGCACTAATTAAAACATTACTTAGTAAATACTCGTTAAATATTTAACTGAATAGTATGTTTTTTTGCAATTCCTGACATCTGCCGTGGTTGGCAGTTTGTTCCCGAAAAAGTTAATTTTTTTCTCAACCACCCTATTGGTAGGAATTTTTTAAAGTCTTTGCTGACATGCGGTATAAAAAGCATAACACAGTCATCAAACAACACACTTTTTTTAGTCATTTTCAGAGTTCTTAACGAAATCTCAGTTGATGTTGTGAAGATAACAAAATGAATATATCGCATTAAACTCATTATTAATAAATATTTAATGTAATTTGCATGCATGTTACAGTGTATGGCAACCTCTGTGATACTCATTTAATTTGTCTAGTGACACTGGTATATGGTATGTTAGTGATTGCAGAAATAATTTGTTCGATAAAGTAGCATATGCCGTTTTTTAGTGCCCTAGATTTTAACATACTATTTGTTGTGTCAGACCTGACAAATTAAAAGTTGCTTTTAGTATCACTTGAAAAACTGGTTTAACAGCTGTTTATTAATTATCCTATGTTGCTGCAAGAGTTCCTTAGTGGGGTGCAGATATGGCACATTATTAATGCAATAGATAGTTTTTTGTTTGTTTGTTCAAAGCTAGGTGCCCGTTACTGTTTCTCTTGGTAGTTATACCTTGCGCTAAGGTGCAGTAATTCAAATGTAATTCAAAAAGGGTATGATAAACTTGAAGCTTAATGCTTTATTTAGTTGTTGCAAGAGCAGAGGGACAGCAAACCTTATTGATGAACTCAGTTGGCAAACTTCTAATAAGACACCTCCTCACCTCCAATATTTCTCAGCTGTCAGTTGACTGAAGCCCCGCCTTTCCTTCATGCTCTGCATCATATGAGCAGCTTCACTTAACTGGTGACAAACATTGACAGGGAGAGGGGGGTTCAGCTCCTATAAGCAAGCGTTTGTGGGACTTGCTACTTTACTGTATCTAAAAGTACCCTTTTTTTTATTATTGCATGGTAATAGTTTTCTAATTGTTCCAGCAATTTGGGTTAAGAATAAAGTTTTTTTTATAAAAATAGACAGTCTTTTATTTAGTTCTATAACAGGTATCTATAGCTATGCATATCCAATAGTTCTGTAGAGTGCTACAAATTCAAGCATGTTAAAGGGTGCACTATGAGAGTATGATTTAACTTTTCTCTCTCTAGCTCTTAAGCACATTTTTGCTATGTCATTGTGTATTTAGTTTGCATTTTCAGTCTTCCAATAACAGAACTGCTTATGCTGACTGTTTTACCTCTGGTTCACCTCTCGCATACTTTGCTCCTTGCATTGCAGATTACAAGAACCTTAAGACGCTGGATGAGATAGACAACATGACAACCAGCTTAATTGACGGTTCACATTCACCAGCTAAGGACGCTGTTGGGAACCCATTTTACTTCCGGATTCATCTTTCCAGGTCTGATAAAATTAAGGTGAGCCTCTACAGTTTCTTTCCTTCAAGGGAGAAAGATTTATGTGCTCAAAGTTTTCTTTTCTTCTTTTTTTTTTTTTTTTTCTTCTGGTCAACATTATTCACTAGGAAGGCAAAAGTAGGAAGTAGGAAGGCTGCTGGTAACAGACTTATCAGGTTTCTCTCAGAATGAGATATAATGTACACAGTAAGCATCACAAGCTGGACCTAGCTTATCATATCTCGCAAAGAGGATCTGGCAGCTCTCCACACACGCAAATATCCTAGCATGCTGTCAGTTTACACTACACTTCCCCTCTCTGTAGAATATGCCAAACACCATAGATTTCACTTTCTAACCTCCTCATAGCTTTTGTTATCTAATATGCGGCAGTATTGGCTACCTAGTGAGTATTTTTTTACTTAGCTTGAAAAGGAGGATTCTTGAAGACTATCACTCATTATTCAAAAACATTGATTCCTTAATTCCTTCCCATGTATCCTAAAGCTCACCAAATTTTTGTAATGATGTAGTATTTCCTTTCATTAAATGAGCAGATTTGAAACACAAATATGGGATGCATATACGTGACTTTACAGCTAAAATCTCTTTAAAACAAAACATTTAATATGCATTGTGATAATTTTTAAAAGAAGGCAGTACCAAGGTTTTGCGCATTAGTTCATGTGGACGTTGTCGAAAACTGGGGAAGACTGGGTCACCTAGAAAGGAATAAGAAAGTTGGGAAAATTTCATTCTGGGTTTACTCTCCTCCCAGGACTGGAGCAAATGTTGCAAGCGCGGGGTCTTACATTCTCGACGTGCTCCCATTGTGTGAGCAGACGTGCCAGATTGGTATTGCTTCTGCCTGGAATTAATTTTGAATGAAAATCTGTAAACCTTAGCATTTAAAAAATGTTAATATTGTGAAAATGACTTTGCATCTGCACCTCAAAGCAAGCCTAAGCAAGGGGGGGGGGGGGGGGGGGGGGGATCAGAGCCGACCAGAGAGGAAATTACAAAGTCCTGGGTCTAAAATTACCACTGACTTCCTTTTTTTTTTTTCTTTTTTTTTTTCTTTTTGTTATTTGTTTACTCCAGCTTATAGATCTCCATCTCAGCCACTTGGCAGCCAGGGCATGCGTGCCATCAAATCAAGATATGCTCACTACTGCCCTTGTCTAATGGTTTAGTCTTCCTATGCTTCTCTTGTTGGGAAGCATTTATTGGGGTTTGGAACTGTGCTTTTATCAAATGGCTCTTTATTTAAGTAAACTTGAGGAAAGTTTTCCACTGAATTTTCGGAGTTCTTACCCAATGCAGAAGACAACAAAGGCTTGCTTGTGGTCAGTAACACACCAATAGTTTGCTACCTTACCAGTAGTTTGTTTAATTACTGAAGACTTGCAATTCCTCACTGATTGCACATCTGTAAAGCAAGCAGTGGCTATGGCAATTGAGGTATTAACTACGTTGGTATAAGAGGCACAATCGAGAAAATAGTAGTCAAACCCGTTTATGACGAACAGTAGGAATCGCTACGATTAGTTTGATATAGCAAGTAATTCGATATAGTAAAAATCGTTAACAACGAACTTTCACATTGCGTGCGTTGTGACGCGAGAGCATCTCTTTCTTTCTCAGCTCTTCGCTTCCACCTTGTACCCACGCGCTGATAAGCTTTTTTCTTCTTTTTTTTTAGTTTAGTTCTCTTTCTGAATTGCTTCTGTCTGTGGGCAACGGTTTTGGGATGAAAAGTTTTATTTTTCTGTGCGTGCATGAAGAGTGTATTTTTAGCTTTCTCCCATTCTGAATTGCTTTTCATCACTCGATTTTGTTTGCAACTTGAGCTTTTGAAATTTTCTTTCTTTCCTATTTTTTTTTTTTTTTTGAGGGGGGGAGAGAGAGAGAGGGAGAGAGGAGGGGGAGAGGGAGGGGGGGCTGGAAGACGATTGTTTGCTCATTTTTGGAAGCTTTCGCGGAGAGAAAATGTTTGATGTAGCGAATATGTTGTTCGTTATAAAAAGTACATCTTACATGCATTTTTATTTAAATTTTCCGTGAGTTCGATATCAACAATAATTCGCTCTACGTGGGTTCGTTCTAAACGGGTTTCACTGTAGCTTGGGATAAAACTCGGCATGCAGACGAAAAAAAAAAAAGCAAGCATGATGGTCAGTGTCTTTTTGGTCCTAATTCTTTTCTTTTTTTATGTCATAGCATTTGCACACTGTTTGTATTACAAACTTGACTAGTTCACCTCACCTGTTCGTTGTAAGCAGCGTTACTAAAACACTCACCTGGGAAACTCGCCCTTGAAATCCGGATTTCTCGCATTCATCGAGACCAAACTAAATACGATAACAGCGCCACCCTTTAGCGACGATTCAAAATATGAAAGTTGATTTATATAGCTACTGCGAAACGGCTCTGCAAGATGGTGCCATTGGCCCTTGCACGACTCGATCTGAACCAATACGTGCAAAAGTTGATTTATATAGCTACTGCGAAACGGCTCTGCAAGATGGTGCCATTGGCCCTTGCACGACTCGATCTGAACCAATACGTGCAGCCATGCAATTCCCGGAGTGGCTGCTGCGGGTGTAATGGCGGCTTTGTGATCGCCTCTAGTTCGGTTCTCGAGTACGGAACGGAGCCACTTTTTCAAAGCAGGCTCTATAGCAGTTTCCCAACTGAGTTGTTCTAGAACATTGGTTGTAAGCATTTTAATGTTTTCTAAAAACCAGGGTCTTAGGATAAGAAAGAAATAAGATGTTAATATCTTGCAAAATGGATTAAATAATAAACTGGTTAATATTAAAATATAAGGGCCCAGAAATCAAGAGATTCAGTAATGCAAAGCCCTACAAAACTGTTATAATATTGTTTTGGAAGTTTCAATAAACATGGCCAGGGGATGCATAGAGTGGAAGCTGACGGCACCAAGGGGGTCCTGAGACATTCCCCACGTGGTGTTACTCGTTACTTGGTACAACCGGTACAATCATGTAAGAACTACCACCTGGTGTCAAGAGTGCTTCGGAAATGGAGGAGAACATAACGGCTCAAGCAACGCTGCTAACAACTGGCTTCAAGGCACTGCCAGCCTTCGATTTCAAGCGCCCAGAGGAATAGCCAAGGTGAATCACTTGTTTTAACAGGTACCTTAGGGTTTCTAAACTCGACAAAGAAGAAGGATTGCAAGTAGGCGCATTGATCTACTTTCTCAGCGAGGATGCGGAGGACATTTTATCTGCCTCGACTCTGACCGATGCCGAACAGCGACAATTCGAAGTTGTATCACAACTCTTCGAAAGCCACTTTGTTGGCAAGAGGAACATCATTTATGAACGAGCCAAGTTCCAGCAGATGAAGCAAGAGCCAGGGAACCTGTTGAAAGCTTCATGACAAGCCTTCATCGCCTAGTAACACGTTGCGGCTACGGCGCATTGAAAGAAGAACTTGTCTGCGATTGTTTTGTTGTCGGATTGCAAGATTCTTCACTCTCTGAAAAACTTTTAAGTGACTCGAATCTGACCCTGGAAGCTGTGAACACACGAGCATGGCAGAAAGAAGCTGTGCATCGACAGCAAGCCGTCGTCGGAGGCGAATCCCGAGCAAATTTGACGCCGGATGCCCTCCACAAATGAACGTCGGCAAAAGAGAAACGTGTACAGCGCCGAAAAATGCTGGAAAATATGCGGCTAGAACGAAGACGTGTGGAAGATGCGGCAACAGTGCCCTTGAGAAGTCCAAGTGCGCCGCGGCGGGATCAACCTCTCGCAGCTGCAGAAAGAAAGGCCACTGCATGGCAACAAGTTTGCTTTAAGAAGCTTAGGAATGATGGCAAGAGCACCTTAAAGGGGGTGACTCTAGAGGACACAAATGAAGGGCCAAGTTGGATGATCGGAAGCATTCAAGCAGTAGATGAAAGTGCATGGAAAGCCAAACTGCAATTCAACGGGACGACTGTTATGTTCAAAATCTGGTGCAGACGTGAGTGCCATGCCTCCAAAAACCGTCCCAAACAAGGTGACCCTTGAGTAGACAGCTGCTAAGCTCTACCTACATTGCAAACAGACAACAACTGGAAATGCTGGGGAAGTTTCAGGCGACGTACAACACAAGAATAAATCCCTACACCAGGTGATGTACGTGGTGAGCGGCCTGGAAAAGCCTTTTCTGGGAAGAAAAGCCAGCAGAAAATTGGAGCTCATCCAACTTCTGTGCACAGTCTCGGACCAAACAGCCAAAAGGTACAATGAACAGTACCCTGAGTTGTTCAAAGGTCTCGGAGAAATGGCGGGAGAGCAGAAAATCAAACTTGCGAAAGACGCAGTGCCAGTCTTCGTTCACACATCACGGCGTGTGCCTCCAGCACTGATGATGAAAGTACAAAAGCAGCTGGCAAACATGCCGAAAGAATGAATCATTAGGAAAGTTGAAGAGCCTACACCATGGTGTTTTGCAATGGTGGTGGTCCCCAAGCCGAACGGAAAAGTTCTAATCTGCGTGGATCCGGCACAACTAAACAAGAACATTAAACGCGAGAAGCTAGTTCTGCCCTCTTTCGAAAAAACACTGGGAAGGTTGTCATGCAGATCGCTGTACTCAAAACTGAACGCCAAGTCCGGATTCTGGCAAGTTTGGTTGGCACAAGAGCCACAAAATATGACCACCTTCATCACTTCTTTTGGCAGATATTGTTTTCAACGACTATATCTTTTCCTCCCCTGAGTACTTTCAACGAAGGATGACGAGGCCCTGGAAGGAATCCCAGGGGTCCTATGCTATATGAATGTCATCCTAGTCACGGGCGCACACGAGAGAGAGCATGAGCAGAGGCTGGAGGAGGTTCTCAAGAGGCTGAGAGCAACGGGTGTCCGATTCAACGACAAATGCAAGTTCAAGCAAAAGTCAGTAAAGTTCTTGGGACACATCGTCAGCCAGGAAGGGATCAAGCCAGACCCACAAAGGGTCACAACCAACACTAATAGGCCAGTGCCAACGACAGTGACCGAAATGAGGCAGTTCATTGGGGTGGCAAACCAAGTGGGACGCTTCACCCCACATCTGTCCGAAAAATTAAAGCCTCTGTGTGACCTTCTCAAGAAGACAAACGAGTGGACATGGGACACTCCATAGGAAACAGCATTCAGAGCAGTGAAGGACATCCAGGAGGCAGCAGCCTAACACTATATGATCCTCAACAGGAGCTTATTGTTTCAGCAGATGCTTCATCCTACGGTTTGGGGCAGTGCTTCTGCAAAAGGACAAGAAGGGAGACATTAAACCAGCAGCTTTTGCTTCTTAAAGGAGCTGTGCAACGATTTTAACGTTGAAAGAATTGGCATCTTCTGCTTTTGATCTCGTTCACCTTGTCACAAATGGCAGAAAACACACCTCCTTCCATCGAAATGTTGCGATTCCGCCGCGTAATAGCGAGGCAAAATTTAGAACATTCCCCGACCTGCAGCCCCGAGTGGTGGCTATGAGAAACACGCGGCGTGACGTCAATGGGGAATCTTGTAGAAAGATAGCAAGTTGTGCGAATACCTGTTCGACAAAAGGTAACTTCTCTATAAATGTTGTCGTTCCAACATATATATAAATGCGTCAAAAACCTGGTATCATCGACAAAACTTTTATTATATGGACTTTTAGTGGCGCCATCTATCCTAGGTCCACAAAACCGTCGGCTCTCTCTGCTACCGCGAACAGCCTAGAAGCCAAAGGGGGAGGGGGACAGGGCTGGACGGGTATGGCTGGACCCGGATTAGACTTTCCTCCTTTCACCATATTGTTCGCGCAGCGCCCGCCAGCACGTGGTCATGCGTTCGCGAGCGGGTGAGTTCTTGCTGCTCACTGATGGCTCTAAAGAGAGAACTTTTCCGAAACCCCGCGCCTACCCCATCAACGTCACTGCGCACTTGACCCGGAAGACTACGTACGAGTTGAGAGGCGGCAAAAACCTGGATCTTTTTAATTTTTTTAAAATAAAAACTAGGGTATCCAGGCAAAATCTGTTTTCTATAGTTCACTTAAGTGTCAGGCACCAACTCCCACAATAATTTAAGCAAAGCCCTGAAATTGTTGCACAGCTCCTTTAAGGACTGAGTACTACAGAAAGAAAATACGCTCAGACTGATAAAGAAGCATATGCTGTGACATGGGCATGTGAAAGATTCGAGAAGTTCCTTCTGGGGACCCAGTTTCACAATCCAGACAGACCATCATCCTCTCGTGTCTCTTCTCGGGTTCAAAGAACTAGATGCAATAACAGCCAGAGTTCAACGATTCAAGCTGCAGGTGATGAGATTCTGCTACACAATCTCGCACGTGCCTGGAAAAGAACCCTGGATGGCTGATGCCCTGTCAAGACCACCTGTTGAACCACCAGACAACATAGAAGAAACCAAAGCCTATGTGCAAGTGGTTCTTCAGTCAGTCCTTGCATCCTATGAGTACCTGGATAAGGTAAAGAAGATCCAAGAGGAAGATCCTGTCTGTACTAAAGTGAAAGAGTACTGCGAAAAGGGATGGCCAATTAATAAGGACCAAGTGCCCATCGAAATCACGCCATATTTTCAAGAACGACACAACCTCACGGTAGAAGAAAACCTACCGGTGAGAAGCAACCGCCTTGTGATTCCAAGCCAAATGAGAAATCAAGTCTTATACCGGCTACACAAAGGCCACCAGGGTAATTACAAGATGCCGGCAACGAGCCAAGGTGTCATTTTGGTGGCCCGGACTAAGCTCTCAACTGGCCGATGTTGTGACAAACTGTCTCAGCTGTGCACAAGAGTGAGTACCAAAAACACAACCGATGATCGCATCTGAACTACCAAGCGACCAAGGCAACGGATTAGCACAGATTTGTTTGAGTTGAAAGGAACAAAATACCTGCTGGTCTTGGACTATTACTCGAGGTACGTGGAAGTGAGCAGACTGAGACAAACCAGTTCAGAAGCAGTCATATCATATCTCAAGGCAATATTTTCTCGTCACGGAATATTCGAGAATCTGCGATCAGACAATGGTCCACAATTCCGTTCCAAGCTATTTGAAGACTTCTCAGAGGACTACAAGATCAAGCATATTACAAGTTGCCAGGGCCAGATCCAGAGAAGCCCCCAAAAAGAAACCCCAGGAAAGAAAAAAAAAAGGGGGGGGGGGGGTACAGAGAGGGAACACTCGCTGCACACCTCATTGTGTGTTGGATCTTTGTTTAAATGCACATATAAATATATAAATAGTAGAGGAATGACATGATTGTGATATCTCCTGCTTCGAAGCAGGGATAACAGAATCTTCATTTAACTCTGCCCACTTTGCACGACATAAGACTATGGTTTAGGTTTTTCGGTAAATTTCGATAAACCACAAAAATTAACCCCCCAAGGATCAGTTTTATCAAAATCGGTCCTTGAATAAAAAAAACCCAACCTTTGCGGGAAGAAAATCTTTTATCTACAGTTATATTTTGGCACAAAACACTGCCTCCAATGAACTGTCCACGAGGTTGGTTTTTGCTCTGGATCCCCACATCTTGTTTCTCTTTCTTGTCGGTACGGGAACGTCTTTTGATTATTCAGGTCACGCAAATGTTTCGCGCAGGCTGGGGAATCACATGCCCCATTTTCTTCAACATAATTTCCGAAAAACCCTGTTTTTTCGTTTAATACCAAAAGTTGTCAACGGAAAACACCGAATCTGCGGGAAAAAGTAAACCCCAAAAATTGCGTGGTTATGCAGCAGGTGCCTCGAAGCTATGAAAGTACAGTACTTGCATGTGAAGTCAATCAGCCAGCACGCACAGGGACAATTGTTACCCAGGGTAGATGAGAAATTTAGCCAGTGGAGTAGGACTGCTAGCTTGTGCTCTTTATGGGCTCACGAGTACTGATACACGACTGCACGCTGGTACGATGCTCATCCAGATCGAAACTGCAAACTACTCATGCCGCACGTCCAAACGACTTGCTCAAACGACTGAGTTGAAGAGGTGAAAGAAAGCGAAGACCAATCGAAAGACGATTAAAACAAAACAAAAAAAAGACAAAAAAATACTACGGGCGACTTGCTGTTCCTAGAAAACACTCAAACAAAAAATTTTTCTTCAAGCAACGTCCAGGTCACTGGGCGACAGGTGACCGTCTCCGCAGTGTCGCGCTCGTCGCGGCTTAGGCTCTTGGCGCCTCCAGACCTTGCCACAGAGGAACAAAAGCGCCGACAGCCATCAACATTTTGTTTTTATTTTGATATTTATGCTCGCTTTCTCCTTTTTTGAGGAATATTGCTTAGCAGCAAGAAACAAATGCACACACACACGCAGACAAGAATAGCTCCTTAGTCAGATATATTTCGTTTTACTGTGATGGACGCCACGACCTACACGAGCCAATCCATAGTTTATAGCTTGTCTCGTGATTTCGCGCTCCCCGCGTTGCTCCGCTCAATCGGAAGGACACATGACACCCTCTGAGCTATCAATTGGCTCCGGTGGCTCGTAGCATCTATAGAAGAACTTCTGGACGTTATGGAAAAGGTGGTCCACAGAATACTTACTGGAGACTAGAAATATGCAAAGAACCATCACCTCGAAGACGCACAGCATAAAAGTCTGAGATCTTGTCATAATCAAAGACAACTTACTACCGAGACAGCGATGGCAGATGGGAACGGTTGAAGACGTTTCGATCGGAAGAGACGGAAAATACGATCTGGTACCATCAGATTACCCAGCAGAGTATTTTGTAAAAAGACCCATTCAACTGCTTTTTCCTTTAGAAGTTTCTACCAAGTAAATGTAAAATGAACAAAGTTCATTTCAGGGGCAGTGTGTAAAAACTTCCACGTCGGTCTAGAAGACGACGAAACAGCGGACAGAACAAGCCAAGGCTTGAGCACCGCCGAATGAACACGAGGAGCGGGGGGAACGAGCCGACCACAACCGTTTTTCGCCTAGCTACGATGTCCCTTTTCTAACTGTAAATAGTGCACATAAAGTTGCTATCGATTTAAACACCATAACGTTCAGAAGTTCTTCTATAGCATCCTTTGCGGTCCATGGTAAGGTGAAAACAAAGTATAGAAGTGTACGCCTCCTCACCAATGCCAATTCTTTCTGCACATAGACATGAAATATACTTCTTTGTTGTATAATTTTTTAGCTGTCTTTATGTTGTCGCTGCCGTCTGTTTAATCAGAACTGAGTCGCTGATTCCACCGTCGCGAATATTTAATTGGCTTGGCGCCTCTACCCGCAAGAATTGGCTCACATTTTATTGTGCCAAACCGTTTCCTATGAACTGGTAATCACCACATGAAATTACGGTTCCTTTCTGGTTCGGGTTCAATATCAAATGTCTGGTTTGGGTTGCAGTTTTGTTCTGGTTCAGTTAAAAACATTTTTTCTCAGGTTTTCAGTTCGGGTTCGGTTTGACACCCTGGTTAAAAGCTACATGCTAATTGCGCATAATTACAACAGCCACTTTGTCGCGTCTCGCGGCGCCAAGAGCGACCTCTTGTCTGTCTACAACTATTCTGTTTTGGTTGCTTCGCATAAGGCGTGCCATTTTCATCCTCGAAGTAGCATAAGGCAGTGAGACAATCGGGTCGTCAGTCACCTCCAGCGCAATAATGCTGTTTCAAGAGCCACTTACCATGCGCTAGCGAATTGTGACACAGCTTGCATAAGAACCGAGCCCATTCCATTCTTACTCTATTCCAGACAAAAGGTATCCAATTCCATTTCCATTCCGTTCCTCCCAACGCTGCCGGCATTCCATTCTCATTCTATTCCGAGGTCGCGAAAAAGCGGAATGATACCGGAATCATTCCAATTTCGGAGTGGCAACTCCGCATCACTGGTTAGCGGCATCCGAAACAGTAGCCTTCCGCGACCCTTGTGACGCCACTGGCCTGTGAAGTTTTTTTTTTACTTTATTCATGACTTTAATAAAATTATTAAGATTTTGTTGACAATAGAGAAGGTATTGTCATCAAAGTTGACAATACCTTCTGGGAGGTTGACAATACAGTTTCATTTTGCAGAACAGTGTTATTACAAAAGTAAATTACACTTTTTACAAAATCCCTTTCAGTCAATCTTTCCAGACATTCTGCTTATTATATGGCAAAAAGAAATGCTGAACATTCTATTCATGATTTATTGTATTATTTTTGCAACAATAGATTGTTAGTGTGTTTGATGGGAAGTGTTGTAATTTCCTTCACAGTTAATGTACAGAGGTGAAACTTTTTACTGCACCCTTTATCAGGACTAGGAGTGTATACTGTTAATTTAAATATTTTAAGGTAGTAGTTCAAAAGCTGACCTTCCTGGGTTGTATCCTCCTTTAAGAATCTGTGAGGTTAGTAGCTGTGGACTTTGTCATTGTTGTTTCAATGAGTAACCAGTTGACTTCGCTTGCAACAACTTTTTATGCTTGATAAAAGGGTGAGTGGCCGAAGTTTACATGGGACTAATGACGGATGTTGGTATTCACATTGTAGGTGGTGCTGATGTCTGTTTTCGTCGTTCCAATTCGCATCGTGCTGATCGTCATCTTTCTGTTTCTGACGTGGTTGGGCTGCTACTTGGGCCAGCTGGGCCTGTCACCACAGAGGCTGCAAGATCAACCCATTATGGGATTCCGCAGGTGTGTGTTTCCTTGAGTTTTTTCTACTTTAATGGGCCTCTGACACGCCAAAAAAATTCAAAGTGCCCGCCAGTGCCCTGTGATGTAACAATGTACCGCAAGGTGTCGGGGCGGTCAGAAGGCAGGCATCGACCTATGTCACTAGAAGTGGGTTCGCCGGAAGTCACGTGAGTTTTACTCCTCGTGCTCTCCACGACCGTGCCCAAGATATTTTTTTTATTCTGGTCTTCTCCACGAGCGATCGTAGAAAACAAAGTTTCAGTTCCTTCGGCTTTTTATCGCTGCACCGTTGGTTAGTTTGCGTGCTGTAAAAGTTGAGGACGAAGAGTCAGTGGATCGATGTGATGGAGGTCAATGATAAAAGCGTTGCGAGTACAGGCCAGTGTACGAGTGCATGTTGTCAGTCTGATGGTACGGAACCATACTGGGCACAAAACAAGCTTTCAAGTTTAAAAAAAAAAATTAACATTTGCAGAAATTAGGATTGCTAGCATACGACACGCCCGATTGCATTGCTGAAGGTTCAGACACCGAGGTCGTTGAGTCATCGGATACTCCTCAGGCTAAAGATTCCTGCCGTCTAGAGAATAAGAACTGGTGAGTGTACCAAGTACAAGTAAGTGTCGTGCATAAAGTATGTGTTTTCTCTAGAACATGAGTAGAACTTGTTTACTAGGTTCACTGACTCCTCTTCTACCTTAACAGCAACATTAGGTGATGAAAAGCAAATAAAAGAAACCTTGTCTTATTCGATTGCTCGCGGATGTGCAAAAAATTAAAAAAAAAAAAAAAAAGATATTGCACGCGGTTGCAGTAAGCACGAGGAGTGATACAACTCGCGTGATTTCCGGCAATGCTCCCTTCTGACCGCCCTGACATCTTGCGGTACATTGTTACGCCACAGGGCACTGGCGGGCACTTTAAATTGGGCCTCGTATTTCTATTTTTTTATAAAAAAAACTATGCAACTCTAAAGTGAAAAAATGTTTTGGTGATGCCTTGATACACCATTTTAACGCCTAAAATAAAAAAAATAAAAAAATTTGGCGTGTCAGAGGTTTTTTAAAAGTTGTTGAAATTTTTTATTTCTATTGTCTTACAAAGTTTTGAACTAAGATTCTTGACCTGCACTGAATGTAGAAAAACAAAAAAAGCAGGTGTGTATTTTTTTAAAATTAGATATGTTGGGGGAAAACCCAGCATATCTCAAATGAGACAGCTTCAGTTTAATTTGTATGAACTTTGATGTAGTGGCATTGTAAAAATGTAATATGAGTGATTAGGCGCATGCCGCAAAATGTGGGGCCGGGCGACATGAACGCAAGCAACACAAGCATTGGTGAGACATCATAGCTCTGCTCGGTGCTGTGTTTGTGTTTAGTGCACACTACCCTAATGTTTGTTAGATACATGCAACAGTGGCTTGACCATATACTTGTTTTGTTATCATAGCTGCCTTATGCATGTAGTGGCTTTTTAATTGGAATATACACAAAATGTCAATTCAGTTTGCTTTCTTTTTCACACTTGTTTACTACATTCTAAGCCCCTTTCTTTAGTGCATTTGAATCCTTCTTATGCATGCTCAAGTTCAGGTGGACTCCACTTGGGGTGTTTCTTTTGCTTTGATTCCACTGTTTTGCTCTTTTTTCGTTGTTTTATTTCATGGTTTAATTATGTTCTTTTTTTTCTTTTTATGATCCCTTCTCCCTTCCCTCCCCCTCCCCTTCCCTCATGAACACCTTGCACTGTGGCCTGGCACCTGGAATGAACCGTAAATGGCATCGGCTGATTCCCCACAAACTGCACAACTCCTGGCTTTCATTTTGTTTTACAAACATTTTGTTGCTTTTTTTTGGTGGCATAAACTAACATTGACAACCACTTACTTGTCAATGTATTACTTGGAATAATCTTGTTTCATGTTGAAATTTGAACATTCGAAATGTCAATCAAATTTTCGCCATAACTAACCCAACGCCCGATATAATGGAAATGTCTGCCAACCCTCGAATGACTGACATCCTTCAACACCGGTTATGTTTTGCCTACAAAAATGTCTCGACTACCGAACCGCAACATTTTTTCCTTCTGACATCACCTCTACCTACGTCCTGGTCCCCACAAACTGACTGGTGACATCAATTGCAAACTCAATCCAAACTTGACCCTTAAAACATACAATCTCCCTGATATAACCAATATTGCACCAATGGCAACATATACTTTGTGCAAAATATTGCTGACAGGGACTACCTGAAGCCAGTGCTGGCCTTTTTTATGAGGCTAATGTTTGAGAGTGGAGGCCTAACGTATAGCTTTAAAGGGGAACTTGCCAAGCAGAAAGAAGCCCCCGTGCTCGTCGTGGGACCACATTCGTCGCTTCTCGATGGCGTCGTCGTGCTACTCTTGGGAGGGCTGACACCAGTTGCCAAGGCTGACTCGGAGCACGTACCTATCTTTGGAAGTAAGGAACGTGCGGTTCGTCTGCCATGGTGGATGCGGGCCTCTCTGGCAGACGTCTGCCCAAGAGGACTAACCATAATCTTGCCATGACTCGCAGCTGGTGTACCTTGTGCCTTCTTTCTTGCCAGGGCTTGGTGTGTTGCCTTGAGTTGTGCATGGCCTGCCAGTGTTGCATGAAAGTGTCAGGGTATGTCTACTTTAGGAGCTCCCATGTACTATGGTTTGCATTTCTCAAGTTGAAGAGCCTTAGGGCATCTGTCAGTGGTGGTGAAGTCACTGTTTGCTGAGTGGTGTGCCCATTTCTAATCCCGAGTTTCTGCTTTTCTGGGTAGCCCTGTTGGTGGTTAGTTACGGATTGTTATGCAGTCTTTCTGGTTGAATTTATTTTATTTCAGCTGCTTCGGTCTTTAGTGGCCAAGACAAGGCTGCCAAGCATTTTATTAATTTTATGCATATATTTTTTCTTGTAATTTATACTTTAGGCCATCTATAAATTAGTTCCGTTCCATACTACATTTTTAATTTTTTACTAACAACCGAAGAAACAGTGTTGGTGCATTCAGGTATCTACACTATGTGCTGGGGTCTCCAGCACGTGTTGCACGTTACGTGTAGAAATGTTACTTAGTGGTTAAAGGCCAACCTACAGAATCGTCTTGTGCCACATGAAAAACCCTTTCTCAGTGTTCCCTCCTCTCCCAAATGGAGTGTGTCTGTGAGTTACTTACTCCCGGCAGAAAGGAGGAGGGTTGCCCTCTTTCTGGCTGCTCGTCAGGCATGTTTCGTAACAAGAAGCATGTTTTTTTGTTTTGTTTTTTTGTGGTAAGTATTGAGCATGTGAGCACAATTCCTTCTTTCCCAACAGTGTTTTTATTTCTGTTTGCTAAAAACAAAAATTGCCTATCCTGATCTGTTATGGTACAATAATATATAATCCTACAAGTATTTTTTTTGCTAGTCCTGTGTCATATCAAACTTCCAAATCGCGGGTCAGTCTCAATCACTGCATCAGTTGCAAATCAACTCGCCCACCTTGTGATCTTAGTTTTATCCTTATCACACATCAGTGGACGTAATATATCGTCGCTATCCAGAAACAAGGGGAGTGCTACTCATTCCGAAGCGCATATATTTTTGACCTGTACTTTATTTACTTTTTCATACGTGAGTTTACTGCAGAGGCACCCCAAGGGCATTCATTACCATATTTTAGCAGCATCTCTTTGGCATTTGGTGGTGGTTCATTAAGTGTGAGATATCGTCCCTATTGGAAGTGGTTTGGGGGTGGAATGATAGATGTTGCGAGTATTTTGTGGTATATAACTAGAAAAGTCCAGGCTTGTCCGAGATTTTAAGACTGCTACGGCTACTAGACTGTGTCTGGTCGCTTTTTGGTGGTGGGAGTCTTGTCTGCTAACATGGCCGCCCTCTCCCTGTTCCCGTTTCCTTTGCTCTCATACCGGTGTGGCTTTTTTCTGTTTTTGTGGTCAACCTTGAACTGTCTGGCTTGCGGCCCTTGCTGGAATGTTTCGGTGTGGCCCCCAGGCTGCTCCAGACGCTGTCCCGAGAACTTGTGCTGATGTCGGTGCGGTCAGCCGGCTTCTCGATGCGGACGGTGGGGCGCCACGCCAGCGTGCAGGAGGCGCCCATCTTGGTTGCGGCACCCCACTCGTCTTTTTTCGACACGGTGGCGGCCATGCTTGGCTACCCACTGCCGTCTGCGGTGGTGCGCTCCAAGAGCAGGGGCCTGTTCTTCCTGTCCAGTATGTTGTTGTCTCTTTTCTTTTCTTCTCGGTGGTTGGTCCTAGTGGCAAGTGGCTTGCAAGGGTACTAACCTGGGGGAGGCCGATCTTCGATTGTCACTCGAGAAAGTGTGGTGACTTGCGCTTCACCTTAATGCAGGGCCAGCGGGGAGCTGGGCTGGTGAGGTGGGCAGGGGTGCCAGTCATACTAACCCATCGAAAATTTGACTGCTCTTTGGAAACCCTTTGAGAGAAATTGGCGACTTCCTGTTGTGCCGAGGGCAATAGTCTCAAACTTGGACCACTTTGAGGGCAGGATAACCGACCCCTCAAAGGTTGGAGGGCCAATGTAGCGTGGAGGGTGTAAATGTGAAGATGTTTCTGGGAGAAAGGACCTCATGGTTTGTATTTTTTAAAAACTTGCTTTTTGCCAGTGGCACCTTTAGCTTGGAATCATTTGCACGGCTACTGTTGGCCCACAGTTCATAACAATGACAAGATTTAAGACGGCACCACTTTGTGAATGGGCTGCTGTATTTTGATAGCATAAGAAAGCACACTGTATTTTGCTATGTCGCGCGACTCACTCTAGTAATAATTGACTTCGACAGGTTTCAAGAAAAAAAGCTCTTCATACGATAGCTTAGGTTTTCTGGGCAATTTTTATAACAGCACATAAGACAAGTATCACCTTGCATTGTTCTTTACTGGAGAGAGAGAAAAAATGTCTTTATTACGTGAAGTATCAGCCCTCTTTAGCTGAGGCCTCAAGACTGGGGAGGGTTGGATTGAGTGAAATGGGCAGGGGTGGAGTAGCCACTAAACACAAAGACAGCTGGGAAGTGGGGATTAATACAAAACGATACGCAGTGCAAAAGAAGATAATGCAAACTATGGTACACAATTTATAAATGAACAAACACATGAAACTGTAATAAAGGTCATTACTTGGTTGCATATATCCGAGAGAAATGAGCAATCATTGACCTCAAACCACCATGGCCCGAGAGAGAACACGGAAAGTATAAAACACGTAAAGGATGAGCACAGACACTCACAGTTCTTTCAGAAAGAAGAATACGTAAAGGAAGAACACAGACACACACAGTTCTTTTGAAAAGACTGTGTGTGTCTGTGTTCGTCCTTTACGTGTTTTATTCTTTCTGTTTTTCTGTAGTTTTTCAACGCGCTCTGCTACATGCACCATGGCCCAAGCTATCCCTGGCGCTCGAGTAGAGTGACCACCTTCCTGCCAGTGAAATACGGGACACACGGAACAGAGGGGGGGGGGGGGGGGGGGAAGGGGGAGGGAGGGAGGGAGGGGGAGGGGGAGGAGGGAGGGAGGAAGGAAGGAAGGAGAGGAGGAGGGAGGGAGGGGAGGAGAGGAGGAGGGAGGAGAGGAGAGGAGGGGAGGGGGATTTATTAAGATGCACACAACGAACCAAGGCTCTGTTAATCCATTTATTATCCCGTACTGTTTATGCACCTGCTAATTGTATTGCAGCAATTAAGCTCAAATAATTTTCACTACCAGTGATAGATTATTTTGAATGCCAAAGATGGTATTACATGTGCCGAAGTTGAAAACATGAAAATCGACTGTACCAAAACTCAATGCATCAAATGGAAATAAGAAACAGTAAATATTTTTCTGGTTATTGTTTCCTGTCCACACTTACTTCTATCAACATGGTCCTACACAAGTTTTTAACATTATGTTCTTTTTTGACCATTGCATCTGTGGCTGCCTTCACTAAAAAAAAAAGAAATCCAAAGCACACCGTTCGCATTGGCACGGCAATTTGAAAATAATTACAATATTTTATATTTAAACTTTTGGCGAGAACTTTTTCGTACAATATTTTCCCACCAAAAGGAGAGGCACAACGGCGCATGCGCGTCGGTCCTTTTGCCAGAACGACGGTCGCTTCCCGTAAAGCTTAGATAGATCATAGAACATGGCGTACCATTTTGATTCGCACAATTACTAGCGACCTCCGCACTTCTTTGTGCCCCATTTTTCGGCTGCACCGTGAGTTGCGGAGTGAATTTTACGACAGTGTGAAATGCGGGACATTTTGTAGATTTGGGACTTTCTCGAGGGACGCGGGACACCAGCCCTCAATGCGGGACAGTCCCACGGGTCGTGGGACGGGTGGTCACCTTACGCTCGAGACATGGGAAAGAGCCTTCGCATCCATGGAATGCTCGAGGGCCGGATACCTATGAGCTGCGGGCTGCGTGTTTGAGATCCCTGGCTTAGGACATAGTAGAAGGGCACAACTGTGCTTTCTAAGTAAGTTCAGATGCCCTTGTATACAAATTGAGTGATCAGATGTAAGAACCAAGTATTTGAAAAAGGGCATCCTGGGGGATGGTGGGTTTTTGTACGTCAAGAGATAAAAGCTCTGGTTTGAGGAAGGTTAAGTGCCCACATTACAACAGTAGGTACCTCAATAGAATGCAGTAAAGCAGGTTGTGGGTCCCAGTCGCACAGTCCCAGTCCCATCTGTTTCGTCTTGGGAAAGCCACGGCACCACAGAAAGCCAAGTGACCCTCGCCATGGGTGCTTTGGTGCTGTGCATTGTGTTCTAAAATTGAAACCCAGACAAGTGCCCAGCCTTTATTTTTTCGCTATTATCTCCAAATTTTGAGTGGGCACTTGCCCGGTATTTTACGGTATACTGTAAACAACTTAATTTTTGCGAGGACCTAAATTTAGCGTATTGCCTACAATTTGCAAAAAATAGGTCTCGCAAACAATTCGGGCAAAATTTCAACACATAAAAAGCTACAGTGAGGTGCTTGCGGCTCGCAAAAATTAGAGCCCACGGATAATTCAAATTTTTCAACTTTGATCCAATTCGTAACAATTTGGGCCCGTGAAAATTATGTCATTTAAAGTTAAGTAAGCTTTCCAGACTTATTGCTATTTTGCTATGGTAAACTTGAAGGGTAGTCCAGCACTTGTGATTGAGTTGTGTAAAGCTAGGGCTGCCCAAGAGATTGAGCAGTTTCTAAAGAATTCACTCTAATGTAAAGTAAAGGCTAAAAGTTTAGAATTAACATGTGTCATATTTTACTATTCCAACTTTTGTATGGTTTGCAAATGAAATGCTAGTTTTCCCAATTTGTATTAGTATTGCAGGCAATTTTTCTCTTAAAACCTGGTATCCGACCTCATACTAATGATAGTTGCATCTGGTGACACACATGATCTCCTGCGAGGCAGTTAGTATGACCCTGCTTGGGCCCGACATTGAATTATGGCGGCTAAGAGGTGCTCTGGTGGGGATGTGTTGTGATGGATGTATACAATGTCCTTGCAGCCATCCTGAACTTCACTCAGCCAGTTTATGTGAAGCGCAGTGATCCCAACTCGCGCCAAAACACCGTGCATGAAATAGCTCGACGTGCCACATCCAAAGACCCCTGGTCTCAGGTGATCATTTTTCCGGAGGGTACATGCACCAACCGTTCTTGCCTCATCACATTCAAACTAGGTAAGTCAGTGACGGTTTTTGTGTGATACTATCTGGAATTGTCTCCCCACTAGTCTGGCTTTCCACTTTGACTCGCTTGTTCTCTAGTGTGCTGTTCACCGACTGATCACAACTCGGCGTGTTTAGTTTAGGAACCAAATACATCTTGCTTCTAAACAACCTAAAATCACTATGAAAATTTTTTTCACTAAAGTGTGTATAATGCCTCCATAAATGAGTTTTCTTTTGTGTCACCCAGAAACATTCCGTAACACAAAGGAGATAATTTGTCATTCACCCATCAAAGCACCCTTTTAATTATTTGCGACGATGGGCATAAGTATGACCTATTTCTATTTCGTCGCTGGACGTACCTCGTAACAAGGGAGGTAGCCCTCTAATATCACAGTTCACTATTATGTTGATCTGGTCATTAGAGCTTCACATTGTTGTTTGTATTCAGAAGTTTGGCGATATAATTGAGATTTTTTGATAGGTTTAGATTCCATCAAATACGGATACAAATTTTTGGTGTGTACTTTTGTGTTTTATGCCTGAAAAGCAAATTTAGTTTTAGTCTGTGACCATGCTTGTTGCCAAACAATGACATTTAAACACTGCAACAAAATTTTCATTCTGTTTTCTGCAGCATTTTAATATCAGTTATGATTATAGTTTGGTTGATCAATCTTTTTATTTTTTTAACTTTGACATTGTCAAGAAAGTGTTTTTTTTTGTTTTTTTTTTTTGGTGGAGATATGGTGTTAAGGCACCACCCAAAATTATTTTTGCTGTGGAGTTGCATGGTATTTGCTGAGAGAAACAAAACAAGGTTTAACCAATAGCAGAGCACCAGCACAGAGGACTTTGATGTCAAAGACTCGAGGAGTTGCCAGGAGTCAATTAGGTCATTTCATTCGGTGCAAGCATTCGGAGTGTTTTTCCGTCAATGGATTTGGGATTTTTCATCGGTCATAAAAGTTATATTTCGTGGACTCGCATATTTTCATGAATGAAGGTGTGATTACTTCTCGTTGCATGTGACTGAAGAACAGAGAGATAGTGGGGAAGCCCTGAGTGGTCTTTTCTCGAGTGTCAATTTTCTTGTGGAAAAAGTCTGTATCTGAGTCGCAAATCTTTTTCTCGGTTGTTGGACTAGTATGGGTCCTGTTTCCGCAAGAAAAAAAAAACACCTAAGCATGCTTAGATGTCTTGTAAGAGGCTCTTTGTTAACTCTGAGTTTGTTTTCTGAAAATCGATAAAAACTGAATCTGACCCTAATGTTTTCCTGTTTTTAAAGACGAGCTAGTGCCCACAGGCATTGCATAGCCCTCCATTTCTTATTTTTATTTGTGTCATGCGAACTGAACAAGCATTGCCTGACCAACAAACACTTCAGTGGGTTTTATGTGAGGCCTTACTTGATTTGACCGATTCCTGAAGCACTAACTTAACGTAAACAAATGTGCTATGAAAAGTGTGCCTTGTCCGGACTTCCGGCCGCAGGTGCAACAATCTTTGGGTCTGGCATTGCTTGACCACATTGCTGTTCTTCACGGATGCATTTTCCAAGGTGCCAACAGCAGGGAATTGGTTAGAACTTGTGGTTCTCCTTAGGGCCACTGCCTCTGAGAGTACCACGTTCGCGGCGAGACGCTCTACTGCGAAGCGGGTTCGTACTTGCGTGGCATGCTGCTCGTTGAGGCAATCAGACACCAGTCACGTTGGTCACAGTGATAATCTCTGTTTATTTACAACGAAACAAATAACAAGAAGACAGCGGCTATCAGCTGCTGAACGTTGTCGGTGTGGAGATCGCCCACGGCCGAACGGTCGTTCACAAAGATATAAAGGACGGGGTAAATGTTCACCGGTGTGCCGGACGGTTCCCCGTTGTCACCGCCGCCGAATCCCAGAAAGAAGAGAGCGAGATCCCGTTGGTCCACTGGTTTTAAGATAACCGCGGGGGCGATGTGGCCAATCAAGGAGCGACATGTTGATTCCCTTTCTGCGGGGGTTCGTTACGAAAATCGCCCCAAAGGGGGAGAGGAGGAAACCACTCACAGTGGTAAGCAGCGTCACCTCTCGCTACGTCAGCGCGGCCGCCACAGCGCACCAAAATGCTGACGCGACAGAATGTTGAGGGATCACAATCCCCACAAACTTCAGAATGCCTCTGATTCAGCTAGCCTGCAGTCAATTGGTAGTCGCCTCACTTCCTTCATTGGCTGCTCATTCACATATGTTTGTCATCGTGCATAATTGCCTACGAACTTCAATAGTTTCAAAACCTTTGTTTCTGTGGTGTACTCATTAGCTCCCAAGATTTGCATCTGTGAAGGTGGGTTCTGCGCAAGTTCAGTTCTATTTCGTTATCTGCTACTAAAAATTTACTTTCACCCATGCTCTGCCAGCATGTAGTTGCGTGCTCTGTTCACTCCTGGTTCACTTTGTTTAATTCCTGATGAAAAGTACTTAGATTTGTTTTTTGAGTCAGGTATAGGGAGACAGTTATTCCTATTTTGAGTCTTCCTTTTTTTTTTTTCAGGGGCATTTGTACCTGGGGTGCCAATCCAGCCAATTATCATCAGATACCCAAATGAGCTGGTATGTTATACACATTTCTTTAGTCGGTAAGTGTGTGGTACCATATTGAATGGACCATTTGCTATATCTTCCAAGTGCCCCGGCCCGCGCTAAAAGAATCATGGGAACGGTGTTCCTTCAGCTCCTTAGTGATCGGTAATTTCGACCCTATCCTTGGTTACGCAGCTTTGGAGCGTAATTCGGATCACCCTGAACAAGTGCCTGATATACCCCAATGACCTCTCATATCGCTTTTAAAATTTCTCCTCAATGTCAGCATTTTTGACACTGTGCATGCTGTCCACCCTTCAACCTGGATGGGCTGCCAGAAATCTCTTACATTATTCTCATGCTGATATTAAGTTAGAAATGCTAAAAATGCTATAAACAGCCCCACGGACTCCGGGCTAAATCCTGGTTTTTGTTGTTGTGAATCATCGGCTTTTTAAGCAATTTTTGCTCAAACAACAATCACGAGAATGATAATATTGTAAGAGTTTTCTGCAGCTCACCAGGTTGAAAGGTGGATCGCATGCGCAGTATCAAAAATGCTGACATTGACGAGCACTTTTAAAAGTGATATGACAGGTCCTTGGGGTATATCAGGCGCTTGTTCAGGATGACTCCGAATTACGCTCAAAAACTGTGTAACCACGGAGTTGGTCGAAAATTAGCGATCACTAGGGAGCTGAGGGAACACCGTTCCCATGATTCCTCGAGTGCGGGCCAGGGCTCTTGGGAATACTGCAAATGGTCTATTCCTTGGAAGACGTGTACATATGATAGGCTATATACTCCGTGGCTGAGTAATTAAGTTTATATTATAACTGCACACATTTTTTAGAGACAACAAATTATCACCATACAGCTCATGTACTGACTAGGATGCCTTACAATCTTTAAATGGTAAAGAGAAGCATGAAAAACAAAAGTTATAATGGCCAAACCTTTTTTTTTATGTGCAGGAAACTTTAAAAAAAGTTTGTCTGGAAGAAGGCCAAGTTGAAATTCAAAGTAGTAAATTTGTCATCAAATTAAAAATGCTTTTTCATGTGGTATGTCCATTCATTGAAACAGATGAAATTTCTTCTTTCTGAAAGAATTCTCGACACCTTGAACTTGTTTGGCAAGTTATTCAGTCTTCTAATGCCTTTTATTATGTTGTCTTTTACTTTTACTAAAGCCACACGTGATGATTTTCTAAGAATAGTAAACATGATATGACCTCTTCATTATTGGTTTCAGCTAATGGACTGTACACATCGCGACACTGTTAGCGCGAACACGACATCGGTGCATTTTCGCATTTTACTTCTAAATAGTATTAGCGAGCACGAAATGTTGTCGCTTACATAATAGAACTAAATGAGCTTTTTCCGTAGCAATAATAGCTTGGATGACATCGCTTGGTTTCAAAAAGAAAAACTGGAAGAACCGGCGATCGCTTGTTTCTGCTAACAGTGTCGCGCTCTGTACCTCTCTCACCTGTTTGCAGATGCAACTAAATTAACAGCCTCTGCTGGTCAAAACATTAAGCAGTGAAAGTAGATTTTAGAAATATGTGCTGGTAGCTGCAAATCTATTTGTCTTCCGGAAAGTTAATATCCCCGTGTGTCTTTTATTTGGGTATTGTCGAGGTGCCAGCATTGCAACACAACTCAGCCGTCTGTAGCCCTCTGTGAAATCCAATGGAAATTTTTGGCTATCAATAGTCAATACATTGTCTACTTTTATTACACTGGCATGAACTGTCAATTTTTATTACACTGGCATGGACGTGACCGTCTGCTCTAACTTCTAGGGAAATGAAATTGAGTCACGCAACCTGGAGGTTATTTACAATACATGTAACCGGTGAAGGGGCAGAACTTTGTGCAGGAAAATCAATTTACTAGTGCTTTCACTGCAAGATTGATTCAGGTGTAAATTTTTTATAATTGACTAAGATTGGGATGGGAAATTTATTTTATTGCATCTAGGTTGTACGTTGTCACCCTCTTACTAGATAAATAAGTAATATAGAGTTGCAAAACCTGTTAACACTCTTTACGGATTTTTTTTTTTTTTTTCCCTTCAGAACACGTTGACGTGGACTTGGGATGGACCCACTGCGTAAGTCTTCTGAAAGTTTGTTTAATAAACTTCAAGTAGTATATCAGTTGCACAAAATGTGAGGTATAAATTCAGATTAAGTAAATTTTAATTATCATATCTCATCCTTTTAGCTTTCAGACTCTGTGGCTTACCTTGTGCCAGCTGCGCACAAATATGGAAATCGAGGCAAGTGATCACTGCTTCTACTCTGACCAAGGCTTGTTAGCAGCGGAAGTGCTGTGGAACAGATTTTGGATGCACGTTACAAAGATTCCTGTTGTCTAATTTACTCCTCAGCCCTTTGCTGAGGTGTGCCAGCTGCCCTACGCTACCATAGTTTGGCACATGAACCCCCAATCTCTAATCTTAATTTTTCTTTGGAGTGGTAGAAGCAGCTGTTCAGAAATATTGATGTACTGTTTTTGTTTTGCGCAGTACATGCCAGTATACATTCCAAGCAGCGAGGAAAAGAAAGATCCCAAATTGTTTGCTGAAAATGTGCGACGTCTTATGGCAAAGTGAGTTTTGAAGGTTCCTTCATAGTAAAGGAGTGGTTTGGTGGCATGTAGTTTTCTTAGTATCATGCTTATCTGTCATTTTCAACTTTTTTTTTTTGCACGAGCAGACTTTTTTTAGGAAAACTTGACAATTTGTTTTCTAGAGCACTGCAACTTCCAGTATCGTCATACTCTTACGACGACTTGAAACAAGCAAACATAGAAGATGATGTACACGAAAGAACTGTTACATGCACCCGCCTTCAGAGGCTTGTCAAAAAGAACAGGTAAGACATCTTCATCACCTTGGAAAATATTACCAAGTTAGGCTGTGTGTTTTTTAAATATGTCCACCCCTTCCTTATTTTGGCTGTGGCAGATCTTTGGTGTTAGGAGAACTGAGATGGACCAGAATCCTTCCAAACAGTTAGCACTTCTTATTATCAACCCATTCTGCCCTTTTCCTAATGGAATGATATCGGACAAGAATTTACTGACCTTGAGTAGCCGTTTGCATGCCAAGGCTCAAAGGTGTCCCATCGGATAAACATAAATGTAAGCCAAGAAAAGATTGGTAAATATAAGGTACTCATTGTTACTAGGCACATGCTTGGAGAGATCTTCCATGTATTGTCTGCCAAGACTGACTATTTTGATGGTGCAAGATGTACATTGTTGAAATTTTGTGGAAGCTTGCTTTCAGCACATGCCTCTCCAGCAACGAACACAGCTATGCAGGTTAATGTTTTATTTATTATTTTTCTACATTTGTATCAAATAAATCTGCAGATAGCATGCACAAACAAGAAAGCACTGTTTTAGCGCTAGGTTTTTATTTTATATTTGTGGCAGTATTGTTAAAGGGGCACTGATACATCAAAATCATATTTTTTTATTATTATTATCCGAAACGATTGAAAATGGTTCCGAGACATTACCCTCAAAATTTAAAACTTGGGAATTCAGTATTTGTGAAGTAAAAGAACAATTTCCGAATGCCGAATTCGAAGTTTCCGCGCTGGTGCGTTGACGTCAAATATTGCGGAGTCCTGCGAGTCGACTTTCTTTCACGACTCCGTGCTCCAAACCGCTCTTCCCACCGCGACCCGAAGCAAGGAAGTGAGGAGCGAGAGATAAGGGCGCCGGCGAACCGGAAAAAGCCGGTTTTATACCGTGTGAGCGGTGCCGCCTGCCCAGACGGCATGTTTTCTGAGGGAGGACACAAATCCAGGAGGCGAGATCACACCGGACACTGTTTTTTGGTATTTTATTAAGAAGGGCCGTAGTGCGTTCGCATTTGCGTTAATAACAGTGTTGCGGAATGGGCACCCCCATTCCATTCCAATTCCATTCCGGGGAATGAGAGTTTTCGATAATTCCATTCCTTTCAACTCCTAGGAATGGGGACACTGGGCCCATTCCCACTCCTGGAATGGCTGAGTCGCTCCATTCCATTCCTCCAATTCCTAAACGTTAAAAGTGTCACTTGACAGCTGCATTACGTTGCAGGGTTGGGCAGAAATATTCAGAAATGTATTTGGAAATACAAATATTGGGATAGATGAAAATAGTGGCTAAGATACTGATACTCAAGTCTCAAATATATCTATAAAAATGTACCGTGATGCATATCGGAAATACATTTTAAAAAGAGGCAAAAATTCTTTGGAAATACAAATACAAGAATACATTTTAGGGAGGGCAGAAATATAAATACTGATAATACAATACATTTTTCAAATTTCTTTGAGACGCCAAATGAGATGAGGCTTTAAGTTTGAAGTGGAAGTTTCTGTTTTTTTTTTGGTCCCGAATTACTTTTCCGCAGGCTTGGCACTTTGCCTTGAAGGTAGTGCTTCCGGACGAAGAGTCCTAAATGGGTTAAAAAAATGTTCCATCAAGGATTGACTGCGGTCCCTTCCCTAGCATCCTGTCTGACTGACTAGTGATGCGAAAAGACTTCGACCTCTAAAATAAATTCCGTCAAAAAATCGCCACTTCCCTGTCCAACAAGGGCGCCCCTGTCAGCACTGCATTACGTCACGGTGGGATGAACCAGTATTCTTGAATCTGTAGGTGTTGCCTTGAACATGAAACTTTACCCACGCTGCTGTATGAAAGGACAATACATACTTTCGTTGTATCTGACCTCGTTGAAGACCATGCAGGCAGTTGCATTTGGAATTTTCGAGAAAAGTGGACTAACTGAACCATCCTGAAGCACATGTATTATCTCCTGTTACGGTTGAAAAATCGATACGGTGGCATCCCTGTTGTGACGGTCCTTCCTGCCGACTCTCCGCCTCCAACGCATGAATGGCAGTCTTCACGTTTCGCCTAGCATCATTCAAACAGGGACCCCTTGGATTGCAACCTGAGATAGCCGGCACAGGTGCTAGCTCTTCGAGAAACAGCGCGCTCAAGATGAGTCGAAAGTGTACGAAGTCTGGGTCCGCACAGCGAGGCCACGTCTGGCCTCCTTCCTGGGTATCGGATCACCAGAGCAGCAGGTCCCGTTCACGTCGGCTGATGATGTACCAGCCGTGCAATATTACAGGCGCAGATGCATTCGGATGTGTTGAACTTCACTGGTGAAAGGCGCCACTGCGGCCCCCCCTCCCCCCCCTGTTCGTTGCTTTGACGCTTGTTTTTTGTATTGCATTTGTTTTTTCTTTTGCGCATAAGTCTGCTAGGGCCTTACGCGGGTTCGCAGTTTCCCGCTCATTTTATTTCTGAACAACCGACTCCCTTACTGGCTCGGTATAGCTGAACGTAAAAAATAAATAAAGAAATAAATAAAATATAAAGAACCTGGCCCATTCCATTCCCATTCCATTCCGGGCAAAAGGCATCTAATTCCATTCCCATTCCATTCCCCTGAACGTTGCCACCATTCCAATCCCCATTCCATTCCGGCGTCGCGAAAATGCGGAATGATTCCGGGGGAATCATTCCAACTCCGGAGTGGCAACTCCGCAACACTGGCTAATAAACATGTTTTGCGATGGCCGTTAATAAATATTATAGAAATGTCGCCTACAAAGCTTCTAAATTTAATGATTTTTGACGTCACAAATTAAATAGAAGCGAGGAGGTGAAGAGCGGGAGAAAAAAACGGCAAAAAAAAATTGCGCGCACGTGCGTGGGAAAATTGTTTTTTGCGATGCGGTATTTTTTTGCGTGTCTATGACTACAACTTGCATTGTTTTAGACAATAAAAAAAAAATACGACCTTTGGGGTGTCAGTGCACCTTTACGCTTCAGATACCTCTGGCACTCGGGAATTTTGGCATATGACAGAACGTTCTTGGTAAACATTGCTGTTCACAGTACAGCTTGTTACATACTATTGTGAAAATGTACAGTCCAATTAATGTACTTAAAAGGTGTTTCATGGAAGGCCAGTCAAAATTGGTACTATTAGTTGCTGACGGTGTACAGTCTGCAGCAAATGTTTGCTGGGCACGGGAGTGCCAGCCGAAATGACTGGCTGCACCTCCTGCTCTCAAGACTCGCGCTTTGTTGATGCGCTTTCTAGCGTGTTTGCAGACATGTTTGTTTGTTTTTCGCTCGCTTTCGTTGCTTTCGTCCGACGCGCACGAGATAACGGACTAGCGCAAGGTGCCGCGAAACTTTATCTGAAGCATCCGAGCACTGTTGCCCATCACGTTGGCTGAGGCAGACGCGCTGCATGACAACTCGCACAGCGGCACCTTGCGCCGGTCCCGGTTATCTTGTGCACGTCGGAAGGAAGCAAGTGGAAAAGACGTGACTTCAAAAAGAAAAATAAGCGCATTCTTGACGTGCAAGTCTTGAAAGCGGTCGCACGCCTTCGAAAGGTGCAACCAGTCATTTCGGTTGGCGCCCCCATGCCCCACTAACTTTTGCAGCCGACTGTACATATCTCGTGAAGTAGGTATGTGGTGTTTGTGATCATTAGCTTTTAAATTATTTTTGCATAATTCACTTTTAATTAATAATTATTAGTAATAATTTCTAATTAATAACACACTAGTTCCAATAGGGAACTTGCTAGGCATCACAATAACCACTAAATCAGTGACGTTAAGTAAGATAATTTTTTTTTTTCTTTGTCCTAAAAAGGACACTTAATTGAGGTGTGCTCAAGTGGTCTCGTTTTCCAATTAGCAGCACCTAAAAGCCACTGAGCACAGGGCCACTGGCATAAAGATGTGTACTGGCTGATAGCTAACCAAAACCTGAGGACTTCCCAAAATTGAGTATTTTTTGGGGATGCCTTACATTATTTTTGAAGTGGGCTGATTTAATGATTTTTGATGATGGCCAGCAAGTTTCTAAATGAAGCTGTACCTTTATCTTTATCAATTGATCAACGCCCTAATGGACTACTTCCAAAACCGACGTGCCCCATCGCGGCGAAATACCACGCAGTGCACTCTGGGAACTAGTTGGCCACTCAGTTTCGGTTTCGACGGAGCAGCTTCGCCTCATGCTATCACGCCGCGACCGAACGCGCTGCTTGCGTTTTCGATTATCTGACTTTTCACAAATGTACAATACACTCATTCTCGAGCGATACAAAACTAAGACCGGGGCACTTTCCTTGGTTCCCGAAACACCGGATACTGTGCGTGCGTATGCGACGTAGTAAGACGTGGCTTAGTCACCTCACCCTACGAGTGCATGTTTGAGCTCAATTTCAATAATTACGTCTAGTACCACTGAACTAGAACTGAAATTTGTTCATCTGGAGCGTTATACGTATTTTGTTTGCCGGACGTCCGTTTCTTGTTACTTCATTGGGCGAAAAGAAAGCCGCATCCTCACATGGTATCAAAGTTGAGCCCAGCGTTTACGCATGAACTTTTAAGGAAACGCAATAAATTCGACCTCACTACTGCACAAAAGTTACTATGATGTCTTCCGCGTGTCATCATATATCTCCCACTCGAATTTTATGCTGGTAGAAGATTAACTTCCCGCAAACGCTGAGATCGGCTAGCTACGACGGAGGCCCTAACAAGCGTCCCCTACTCCTCGCTAAGCCTTTTTGGACGAGCTTTTACTGACGCCCAAGATCTGCGCCTGAAAGGTGTGTCTGAAATTATCTCGGCATACTCAGGCAGGAAAAAAACAAACACAAAACAAATATTATGGCCATTAGCAACCGTCAAACGCGCTTTGAATTCGTTCGAGCACTTGTGTGAAGAATGTCGCACCGTGCGCCGGACGGGCATGAACCCCTATAGTGCGCATGGGGGTTCATGCCCGTCCGGCGCACTTCGGGGGAACGGTGCGACATTCTTCACACAAGTACTCGACTTTTGCTTTTTCAAAACGGTCTGTATGGACGAATTTGCCTATATGATTGCAGGATAACTTTATGTGCATACGCGATGTTGAATATTAATAGAATGCAAGCGGGTGGGGACTTCACTTCGTGCAGTGCTGCGGGTCAGTACAGATAAGAGATAAGAAGTGTGTCAAAATTGAGCTTTTCAATGGCGCCTCCGAGTTTTACCTCGCATACTCAGGCATATTAAGAAATACAGCAATTGCAAAAAGTAATATTTCATCTATGGACGCACGAAACAAACAAACTTCCTGATCAACAGCGGTGGCAATCAGTTCGTCGAACGACGTTTCATGGACAAATCGTTTCGTCGACACTGCAATGTTTCATCGACAGATCGTTTCGTGGAAACGAGCACCGGCTCGTTTCATCGACAGATGTTGCTACGTTTCGTCGACAGCTCGCTCTCCCAGCTCCTGGCTCCGCCAGCTGCACCTCCTCGCGACCATCCAACACAAGACCGCGCGGCGCGCGGCCTTGTGTTGGATGGATGGATGGATGAAAGATGGCCGACTGGGCCAAGTATGGCGAACTAGTGCGCAGCCATCTTGCCTCACCGACTTAAACTATCGCAATTCTTTTTTTTATTTTTTTTAGGATTGGGGGGGGGGGTGCACCGATCGCACTGATTTCGGAACTTACGATTTGTATGGTTTCGCTCGTGTCTTTGCCCGAACCTTTGGGGAAGCGTTGTCAAAGCCGGGAAGTTTTGTTCTCGACCACTCTCCTTTCTCAAGTTAGATTCTTAACATATTCAACATTATGCGCTGCTCTTGAGGGCTACGCTTTCGGCAGCATACGTGATCGAGGTGTCTGCACGTCATCGAATGCAACCCTTCGCGGGCTGGCCGCCGGCACTCCGACTGTTTCGAAAAAAGTGGCAGGATCGTTTCCAGAGCAAGTGTATCTTTCCGCGCGTCGCATATTTTGGTAGAATCCTCAAGAGCCACCTGAACATAGCATAGATAGTCCACACGTCAAAACACTGAAGCTCTTAAAAAATTGTGAATGAAAAAACGAGGCCTGTTTGCGGTGCACACAGCCTTTCTACCGTTGAAAATTGCATAAATTGTTTTTTTAAGCTAATTGGCGTCTGGTCTTAGCCGCAAGCAATAAACTTTGAAAGAAACTGAGCATTCGGCTACGCGTAGTTTACTTTTACGGTGATGAAACACGGTTGTTTTCTCCTCAAAACACCGGGTATTCAACGTACTGTACTTACCAGACCGCATACGATTTTTAGACTTTAGCATATTTAGCTTCTGGATATTAAATAGCACTATAGTTCTACGTATGTTATGTCTGTACTAAAATTTTGCATGCACATAAACGAATATGTGACCAAAGAACATGAGATTTGAAAGCCGCTCCTTCCTTATGCAAAGAGCTGGGTCACGAACTTGCCCCAGGTATCTGTCGGCTGGCATCGATAAAAGAGCACTTGAATGTTGCGTGTGAGGACCAGTCAGCTGCTGCCGACAGATCTCGTCTAGTGGTACTACCGCCTCCAAGGCCTTGCATGTGGCGGCTGCTCGAGAAAAGCTATATAATGCATTAAGTTGCACATTTGATATCAACTAAGGTTTACTTTGTGTAATAAGACTAAACTTGATGTAATGTCTTATTTATATGTAACCGATTCTCGTGTTTTTCTGTTTTTGCATTGCAATGTAGCTTTTTTTAGGTTTACTCGCGGGCAGCGTGCTCGCGGTAGTGCGAGTGTTATTGGTTTTCGTGCTTTTGTTATTTATTTTTATCTGACATTGTTTACAGCCCCCTTATGTAATGTTCTTTTTAAACGGCCCTTAAGGATAAATGACGATGAAACGAGTGCGACTTAACAGTTTTTTCGCGTATAAGTCGCAGTAGCCAGTAAAACACTGCATCACTTTTCCTTTTGAATAATTGAGGGTAATGAGCATGCTTAATTTCAAGTGAAATATTAGGGTTGTAATGTTTCAATAAAAGACTGCAAGCTGTATTTTTGTTTCAAAATAACCAATATGAAGAAAAAAAATCAGTGTTTACGCCCTTTTCCGCAACCCACCTTTGGATCGAAGTTTCGTTTTGCGCCTACGCATATTTTTCTCCACCACTTTTCTTCTTACAGTAACTTTCGTTTCCATAAACGGGCATCGGAACATGCAAATATCCAAATAGGCCGCGCGCGAAGTCCTGCGCGCTCTTGCTTATTCTATGCGACACGGATGAGAGCGAGAGGATAGCGCAGTTGCTCACCTTGGAGAGCAACTGCGCTAGGCATCGTCTTTGTCATCTGTTACAACCGCATGTACCTTAAGTTTCCGGCATTCCTTTCAAAACAGCAAAAAAAAAAAAAAAAAAAGTTTGTCGACGAAACATTTTACGGTGGTGCTGTCGACGAAACGATTGTCGACGAAACGTCACAGTGTCGACGAAACGTGTGTCCATGAAACGTGTGTCCACGAAAAGTTGTCCACGAAACGTAATTCCACGAAACGAGTTTCGACGAAATGATAGGGACCCGATCAACAGCACTAATGTAAAAGCGCGAGCTTGATGTATACGTATACTTATTGGTTGCTACAGCTTGTTGATTCGTACACAAGCAAGATCCCCCAGCTTCGCAGCGTCGAGATTCCCAGCACTGGCTCGTCCACATACCTCGATTGGAACGCTAACAGGAAGGCTCAAGTACAAAAATACAACAAGCATGTGTTAAGACAAGCTATACGTCTCAGGCTTGTGCTAAAGCTTCGAGGCCTGACCATTTAGGTTAGTTTAGAGAGCACAAATGACGCTCTCGGGTCCAGAAAACCATCTCTTGTCGACGTGTCGATCGAAACCGAAACCATGCCACCCTACCCCCTGGCCAACTAGTTCCCAGAGTGCAACGCGCGCCGTGTTGCATGCAGGGCTTTATGGAAGTAGTCTATTAGTTCGAATGCTCTGCACTTCCCGTAAATATGCCCTTTAGCAGAAACCAGCATGTTATTAACTTCTTTTCTGTGCGGTGCATAGTTTTCACAGTAAAATTCTGACTGGCATTTTGTGAAACATCCTGCATAAATCCAGTAAGTGAAATTATTTTGTATCTCTGAATTCGTAATAGGTGATCTGGTCTGGTAATTAGTGTGGTTTGTTCTTGCTCTTGTTGCAGAATACAATTCAGGGACTTTGACAGCGAGATCTTAAAGTTGAAAGCAGCCATCAAAATGAAAGAGAACCTCCAAGTGACATTTTCAGAGTTCTCAAACTTGATGGGCATCCCCTCAGATCGCTTTGCTCGCAACTTTTTCGAAGTGATTGACATTGTGAGTAATTTGTACAGTTAGATTTCACTGCCATGAGAATGTTTACTGTTTTTACAGCGGAGCTGTTAAGGGCTAGTTTCCCCAGTTTCGTGTCCGTCACCAAATAAACGTCGACACAAAACTTTGACAGCTACAGCCATCTATGAGCGATGGCGGCAACCTTTCCAGCCTTTCAACTCTGGTTTTCACCAGAGTGAAAAGGCTGAATTTCTCTAGGCGTCGTCCAACACATAGTCCTCGAGGTTGTCCTCGAGGTTGTCCTAGAAGTCGTCCTTGAGGTCGGCCCAGACATCATCCTTAAAGGGCAACTCCGCTTCATTTTTGATATTTAGAAAATTATGCAGCCCTCTTCAGTATCATATAGGAAGACCCCCATGTCAAATATATTACAATCTAATTCCATTTATATATTTAATAAACTGGCCAGCAAACTTTCAAATGAGCCAAGTCGCTGAAATCTACCAACTCTAGCGTGCGACGTGAGGCGCAATCGTCAGCGCAGTCAATGCGACTGAGTTGGAGCGGCCAACGTTGAACCACGTCAGAGGCATGACTACGTCATTCTCACGTTTTGTTTGATTTTACTTCTCGGAGCGAAATTGAACGATGACGTCATGAGTTTCTCCTCCCGGTGTTGGCTCAACGGTGTCCACGTGATCACCGTAAAGCGGATGCGCTAGTTTGCGCTGCCCTGCACGCTTATCTTGCTGTTTCTCCGCTCCCCCTCTCCTCTTTCGTCTTCTCCCCTTCCCCCCTCTCCCCCCGGCCATCACCGTCCACGCCATGTGAAGCGACCTGCCCGCGTCGCATGTCCTGTACCTCGCGCCCCACGAACGTCACAAGACCACTTGGTTCGACTTGACGTGGCCATGACTCTGATGACACGAGACCGATGTTGCCTGACGCAACCAAAGTTTCGGTACCAGCTGATGTTTAAATTAAGATTACACAAATATTATTCCACATTTCGCGAATCCGAAGACGTAGAGCTGTTTAGTAGTGCTTTGTGAAATGGAATCACATGTAAGCCTAAATTTTTTGGAATTGAGCAGAGTTGTCCTTTAAGGTTGTCCTAGACGTCGTCCTTGAGGTCGTCCTAGATGTTGTCCTTGAGGTCGTCCTCGAGGTCGTTTTAGAAGTCGTCCTTGAGGTCGTTCTAGATGTCGTCCTCTAGGGGGCGTCCTGAAGGTCGTCCAAGAAGTCGTCCTTGAGATCGTCCTACCATAGTACAGCTTCGCTGGTTTTCTTCTTTACCAAAATAAAAAAACTGAAAGTTTTTTTGTTTTTTTTAACTTTGCTCAACAATTACTGCTGATTCAGCATTGCACAAAGAGGTTTTTATTTCAACTGCAATACCTGTATTTTCTAGACCAGGGGTCTCCAAACTTTTTCGCTAATAGGTTTGGATCAGGAATCTGTTGCTCTCTGGAGGGCCGGGAAAAAAAAGAAGTGAATATAAATTGGGACAAACTATATAAATAATCCTAAATATGCAAATATTAAATACAAAATTGAAAGTTTGAGTAGAAATTTAAAAAAGAAGAATGTAAGGTGGTTGAATAGATACTACTTTATCTTTAAATCTAGTATTTAGCTAAAAACTATGACATTACACAATAATAGGGACCCAGAAAACTCACCAGGCATAAATCAAAGGGCATAGGATGTTTGGCGTGTTCCTAAAGGGCAGAAAACTACTGAGAATGATAGAACTGATGCTGACAATATGCAATAGATACGACGCAGGACACTATGCACAATGCCCCAAGAAACTGGGGGAGTGGAGGAGACTAGAGCGTGCGGGGTCATCAGAACACTGAGCTCTGATTGGAATGATTAATGGGTAGACCTGGTGCAGTATACCTGGTACAGTATCAGGATGAACTAAACTGTCCTGTCCCCAGACGAGATTGTCAATAACTAGGTTGGCAGTTATTGAACCCACTTTTGCATTTTTCTAGCATGTGACTTAGCTTGGGACCAACTTTGGCCTAGCCAGCCTCAATGTGCAATGCGAATTTTATTGGTTATTTTATACAGGGCGTCTTTTTTTAAGCTGTAGAGATTTGTTTAAAAAGAGCCGTGAAAGCCACAGTTATGCGGTTTGTGGTGAGTTAAACAACCAGGGGGACATAATATAGAGGGCTTATGGTAATGATCAATCGGCTAACTGCGTATAATTTGTTAATTAACTTTTTAATTAGTGAAAATAGACATATGGTTCCAATTGGAAACTTGCTGAGCGTCATCAAAAACCACTAAATGAACTCTTTTTAGAAAGATATAAGGCAGGGGCAGCATTTTGCGGTGTTCTGAAAAAACGCTCAGTTTGGACACGTTCCTTGGTTTTGGTATCTTATTGGAGGGCATCTGCGCCCACAGTCCTGCTCCCCGGTGGTCGCGTCGCAAAGCCACCGCCTTGCCTTCATCATAGGATGGAGGGAAGTATGGCACAGATGTGTTGCACGTCTTGGCCATTGGGGAGCAATGGGCGAGAACCGCGGGTGCAGAGATGCGCTCCGATAAGAAACCGAAACTTAAAAACTCATTAAAATTGAGCATTTTTACGGAACACCATAAAATGCTGCACCTGCCTTATATCTTTCTTAAAAAGAGTTGATTTAGTGAATTTCGATGATGCTCAACAAATTTATAATTGGAACCATATGTCTATTTTCACTAATTAAAAATTAAGAAGTTTTACTTAATTAGCCGACTGATTGTTATGATTAGCCCCCTCTTCTATGTCCCCCTGGATGTATAAGCGACCTGCATAAGCATAGCTTTCACATAATTCTTAAAACAAATCTGTAAAGCTTAATAAAACCGCCCTGTACAGTAATCAGCATGTAGGTATTTACCTGTACCTTCTGTTCCTGTCTTTTCTTTTTGGTGAGTATTACTAAAAATACATAGTCGTATAATTTGAAAGATAATGTTTAAAGAACCGGCTATGAAGAGGTTGTATTGACTTTGCCTTGAACTTCTGCAACATGAGTGGAAGGTCGAAGCTTTGTTTCATTTGTACATATTTTGTATGTGGACCCATGCCTGAGAGAACTTTAAGGAGGCTTAGAACCTATGTTTAGCCAGAATTCTCACTTACTGCATGTGAAATGAAAGGCTGGTACATGCCCTGATGACATTCGCTAATGGTCTCCTCTGTGTGTGCCTCAAACATGCTTTACAGTTGCATTTCTCTCGCATCTCAGGACAACACAGGAAGGATGGACCTACGCTGTTTCCTCTCGGCTCTCTGGCTCGTGCATCCTTCAGAGCCCCATAGGGCAGAAAATGCATTCAAGGTATAATTCTTAGCTTTTTTTTGCTTATGGAGGAAATGCAATGCAGTTCTTTGTGCAGAAGTTGTCAATAACTCGCAATATATAAGAGCAATGTTCCCTACAGGCATTTTCTGGAGATGGTGGTGGGATCATTCTGGAAGACTTCACTCAGTTGCTGTGGATCCTACTTGAGCTTCCAAAGTCAGCTGCTCTGGCAATGTTCGAAAAGTTGGACAGAAACTCCTCAGGGAAAGTCTATTTGGGTGAGCTTAAATTATTCCGACTTGGAACTGCTTTTAGTCAAGATTGCTTCATGATCAACATATTTAACATACAGTCGCCAATCGATTATTCGGACTGCGCTGGGACCGAAAAAATGTCCGAATAATAGAGCAGTCCGAAAAATCAGCCGATTGAAAAACTTGCCTTTATCACTTCCCAGTGGGATTAAAAAAACCGTAAATAGTGCCTTGTTGCAGGTTACGCCTGCGTGCCTTGTTTTAGGTTACGCCTGCGTGCCTTGTTTTAGGTTACGCCTCCGTTTCCGTTAGGCAACTTCCTGTTAGCTTGAGAATCGCTGCCTTTTTTTCTAGCGTTATGGTCGAGTACTTTCTGCGCTTCTTAACTACAGATCGCGGCGGCAGAACAACAGACGGGTCCATGACGTCCAACCAGCGTTGTTTGAACGAGATCAGGGGCGCAAATCCGCGAGCGCAAAATGGCGACTTGCGACGCAAAGGAACGAAAAACAAAGCAAAATGATAATAATAATAATAATGATGATGATGACGTGCAGCTAAATGGGAAAAAAAGGGCTAGCATAGCGGATGTATGATGGATGGATGGATGGATGAATCCGGCTGAGCCCTTTGGATCGGGCGGTAGCTTAGGCCACCTAGCCGTTTTGTTTTACCATTTAAGCTTAGAATATTTAAATGTGAAATCTATATTCACTCCGCACTGCAAAGAAAGTGGGGCTATGAAATCCCCTTGCCATCAGTTAATAAGAAAATACCTAGTTTTCTCTCGCTTTCTGCCACCATTCACCTAATCTTTGCTTGGTAATCTCTACAGTCTTGAAATTCACTCACCCTGTGCTGTTTCTAAAACCCAATGACTTTATTAAATTTATGTTGTCTTCGGTAGGCATAGGGTGAAGCCCTTTACAGTAGAGTATCAAGTGCTCAGCCCTCTCATCCTCCTCTCCACAAGCAGTGCACACTGTATCCACTTCCTGGTACTTCGCTTTGTATGTTCTGGTTCGCAGAACACCCGTCCTCTCCTCAAACAACAATGAGCTTCCCCTAGAATTGTCATAAATGCTTTCTTCGGCAATAACTGTTTTGTTTAATCTATAGCTTTCCAGAGCCGTCTTTGTCTGCATTCCGTCTAGCCACCGATCCCTTCCTGTCGCCTTAACTTTCTTCTTAACTGAGACCTGCTCTTCCGTTTCTCCACTATAGCCTAAAAGCTTTCCTCTTATTCCTCTTAATTTCCTAGTGCGCTGTCTCCACTTTGTGTCTATACTCCTCATATATAAATAGCTGAAAACCTTTCGTGCCCATTGGTCCCCATCCATTTGCCTCAACCAATCCTCAAATTCTATCTTGCTCACTGCTTCCCTGCTCTCAAAAGACGCCCATCCCATGTCTCCTTGTACTCCCTGGTTTGGCGTTTTGCAATGTGCCCCCAAAGCCAGCCAACCTACTCTGCGCTGTTTTGTTTCTAGTCTTGCATGCACTTCGGATTTCATGCATAGCACTGCGTTTCCAAAAGTCAAACCAGGCACCATGACCCCTTTCCAAATCTCTCTCACCACCTCATACCTGTTGTAATTCCAAAGTGCTCTATTTTTCATTACAGCTGCATTTCTGTTGCCCTTACCTATTATATACTTTTCATGCTCATTGAGATATTCTGCACCATCACATATCCATACTCCCAGATACTTGTATCTACTAGCTCTCAACTGTAATATTCTGTATCTTCAGCCTCTCAACTTCATCATCGTTCAAAATCATGACTGCTGATTTTTCACTACTGAATTCTAAACCTAATTCCTCTCCTTTACCACAGATGCTCATTAACTCTGTCCTGTTGTTAGCCATTAGTACAATATCATCCGCGTACATCAATCCTGGTAACGATTGCTGAATTTTTTGGCCTAGCTTACTGTACGAAAGGTTGAATCCAAGCCCACTCTTCTCTAGTCTACCCTCCAATCCTCTCAGATACAGCATAAACAGCAAAGGTAATAACGGGCACCCCTGCCTAAGGCCTCGTCTTATCTCTAATTTCCCCGTCGCCTTTCCTTCCCATGTTATAATCACCTTATTATCTTTGCAAATGTTTCTTAACAGGGCTGTTAGTCCTTCATCTAGGTTTAAGCTCTCCACTATGTCCCACAGGTTCCTTTGGTTCACATTGTCATAGGCACCCTTGATATCCAGAAATGCCTGCCACAGCGGTCTGTTTTGTTTTTGCGCTATTTCTATACACTGTGTTAGAGAAAATATATTGTCCTCCAACCTTCTTTGTTTCCGAAACCTGTTCTGTAACTCGCCCAGTATGCCCTCGCAATCTACCCATTCCTCCAGTCTGTTCTTTATAACCTGCATTACCAACCTGTAAATAACTGGTGTCATGGTTATGGGACGATAATTCCTAATATCAGACTTATCTCCCTTTCCCTTATATATCATACTCATCCTACTAAGCCTCCATTTATCTGGGATATTTCCTTTTGTTATCATAGTGCCCACTACCTCCCTTAGTTTTGCCTTAGATTTAAGACCAAATTCTTCACCAGCTTGATTGGGATCCCATCTGTGCCTGTCGACGTGCCACTAGGGACTCTTCGTTCCGCCTTTTCCCATTCTCTTTGTCCGAAATCCGCGATGTCACAAGCTGGACTGCTACTTCCTTCGGTTCTCCTATCTTCCACATGTACCCGTTCCCAAAATTTCTCCTTCATCACTGCTCCTATATATCGTACCGCATCATCTCCCTTTAATTGATCTCCCTGATGCGAGAGTATGATCTCTATGAGCATAACGTCAGTATGATCTCTATGAGCATAGCGTCACCTAGCGGTAGGACTCAGGAGTGCTCAAGTAGCGCTGTTAAACCAAGCCAATCCATTAGCAGCCAACATAGAATTCAAAATGGCCGCTTCTCGATGGTGTTTTGGTTTTCCGCTGATCGGTCGCGAAGATTTTGTCCGAATAATCAAACTTTCGGACTTCAAGCTGTCAGAAACATTGGTCGTGAATATACACTATTTCTATGAGGTAAGTCACGGTTCCGCCTTTAGGTCCGAAATATCGAACAAGTCCGAATTATCGGAGTCCGAAAAAACGGTCGGCGACTGTATATAAATATTTGACATATATCTAAACTATAAAAATATATACTATAAAACATAAACTATATAACATAACGTATATATATACTTCTGGGTGAGTGAAAGAAGTACACAGTAATTGTATTTTATTTAAAGGGCAACTCCGGTCCATGCTTTCGATTTTGGGACTATGACTTTTTTTAGTGCAGTCAGCGTCCCTGAAATACAAGGTGTAATTTTTTTTGTGTTATTGTGCATAGTTTTAAAGATATCGACGCCTCAAAGTTTTGTTTGGGGCGCGGCCGACAAAACTGAAAGTAGCCGCTCTAGGCCCCGGCAACACTGGAAATCAGCCGCTATGTGGACGTGACGTCAGGATCGTTCTCGTTCAACAAGTACGCTGGCCAACCTCTCTTGCGCTAGCCATCTAAAGATAGAAGCTAAGCTGATTTTGTTTTAATTCTGTATATGTGGTAGTTATCCAGCATACCGTAAAATACCGGGCAAGCATCCACTCAAACTTCAGAGATAATCACAAAAAATGGGGGATGGGCGCTTGTCCGGTCATCATTTTTACATATAAATGTACTGTGCATATTTTCTCAGATCTTACAAATTGCGGATGGGCGCTTAATGTGGAATGGGCGGATGCGCGGTATTCTACAGTATGTAGCAAGAGTTAGTGCGTATACCCAAAAAGCTAGCGACTGGAAAACCCGTGAACTCGTTTGATGCCGTACTCGGCGGCCGCCGCCGTGCGTGCGGTCTTCCGTACTCTGTCGCTAGGCCTAAATTGTCATTGGGGCTCCGTGGATAGAGCGGCATTGCTCTACGCCGCGCTGCCAGTGTCGTACAGTACTGGGGGCCCTCTCGCTTTCGTGCTGCGGGTCAGTCCCAAACACAAAGCTTTGAAGCTCTCCGGTGCGGAGGACGGCGCCCGAACACACGCGTGCTAAGCTGTACACATCTGTTTTTTCACTCTTTTTTCTTCAGGCACGTAAAAGCCGAATTCGTAAGCTACGATACTAATTTACCACATAAGTTTGTCTAGGTGGTAAATCTAATTTGTAAAAATATTTTTAAAAAAAACTTGCCGCACTCCAAAAAAAAAAAAAAGGAAAGTTATATAGGCAGACATTTTCTTCTCAAAAGGTAGGAAAAGCTGGTGTGGGTGATAGAGGAAAACAGAGAACGTTAGCAAGGTGAAAAGAACACTTTCTTTCTCTTTTTTCCCCTCAAAGAAGCACACTTTACACTGCTCGACCGCGCAACGGGTCCGCCCGTTGCGCACCCGTTGCGCGGAGGAGGAAAAAAAAGAGTCTGATTCGAGACCGGAAGAAAAAAAGAGAATGATCCTGACGTCACGGCCCAACGTTGCTTTAGCAATCGGCAACCCGCTGGCCGCCCGCTAAGGAGCAGCGGCTCGCGGCGGGTCGCATTTTTATCGTCGGCATTAGTTGAGAATGCGGCGTCCGCCTGACGTAATATTTTGGCTGGGGTCGTATTTTGTGTCACTACAGCGATACCAGTAATTTATTTCATTTTGAATTTTGGCTGGAGTTGCCCTTAAAGGGGAAGGGGAGATCCTGGTATTAAACATTTTTTTTGTAATTTCTCATCAAATTTATATTAAATTCTCACATCTGTTACTATAATACTCTGTGCTAAGCACAAACATAAAATTGCTTTCCGATCTACAAATTAAGGTTTTTATGAAAATCTAAACTTTTATCACAAATTTTTCTGCCTAACATTTTTACAATTCCGTAATCAAAAAGTGTTTAACAATGTATGTCAGCATGTTCTACAAACAGTAGATATAATTTTAGGTTTATTCTCGAATTTTCTGGCATAAAGTTAAATTGTTCTAGAAAGAGGGAATTTTTTCCGCTGATATTTAGAAATGAATCATTGAAGTCTTTTCCACTTTATTAAACCCTGAAAAATGTATTCAGATCAAGCTCTAGATCGGAAGATACCACAGGCACAACTTTGTTGTGACAAACAAAATTAATTCTGAGAAAACAGGAAAAGCTTTTCAAAGCATGCTTGCAAGCGGTTTAGATATAAAACTTTTAATCTATGTAACTATATAGATGTGCACTTTCTGAGTGCAGTACTTAAAAAATATGTTGTTTGTGACTTGAGATGAAGAACAAAAATGTTCTTAAAACTCACTTTTGTTTTGAAATTCTTGTTTTTCCAAACCAAGGTCTCTTCTTAAATCTCCTCTTTTAGGGTCTCCCCTAAAAGACACTTTAGTTACCTCAAAGTGCTAGGCATTTTTCACATTTGAGACTAATGCAGCTAGTTAATCAGCTTGTTGTGTCCACAGTTATGTCTCGCTGCATACTCGCTGCATGTTAGGCAGCTAGTCGGATTCTTGCTGAAAGCTTTGCTTAGTGGGATTTTTGAGTGTGCATATGTCATCTTTGTAGACATGTAGTTCGCTCTTCCCACTTCCGATAGCTGCTTCCTATCCTACATTCTCTCCTTCCTAGGGGTGGATGCAGGAATTTCCTGAGGGGGGCGGGTCAGGTTCCTAAACATATGGTCAGCGTACCATATGTTTAGGAACCCCCTCTCCTTCGTTTTACGCCCTAAATTTTACACATGCAGAAATCAAGAGGGGGGTCAGGACATCCGGACCCCACCCTCTAAATCCGCCCCTGCTCCTTCCTTCATTGCCCCTCTCAACCACAGTTTGATCCCCCTCTCTACAGAGAATGAACAGAGCCATGTCCTCCTTTCAGTCTTTTCATTGCCTGATTTGTTACACTCACAGTTTGGCAAAAGAGGCTTCTGTCTTCTGTCGAAGCAAGATGCTTTGACAGTGTATGATAAAGAACTGCAAGAACAGAAATGTTTGTCTAATTTGCATGAAAGCCCTCTATCTTATTGGTGCTGCTTGCCAAGAATGGGTCAGTGGCTGGCGTTTATTTAGTACTGACTTTCTGAGCTGAGCTGGGGAGGACATCTGTGTGACGTGACCTCGGAATGCGGCAGCATTGTGATGGTACGGTTGGTCATGTTGGGTGCAGACGACTTCCGAGAGTTCCTTTGCTCATCAACACAGTGGGAAGATGTCTTCACCCCCAGTGAAAGGAGCCAGCCTTTGGAAGACAACGTGGGCAGAGCCAAAGAGGACTAGAGGACGCATGTTGGAAATGTAGATGTACCCTGCCCTGTCCTCCTCTGCAATGCCAGGGGTGGATGAGCTTGCCATTGGGTGCTTCTTGCGGTCCTCGCACAAAGCGTTGTTAATGTTATTTATTGGGTCGCTACATGGGCAGCAATTCTCGGAGTCTGAGTTCATAGCCCGTTTTTAATCTAACGTCTTTCTTACTTAGTTAGCCGCTGACAGTTGAAGCTGGTCTCGACTAGGCCATCGGCTGGCAGTGACTCACAGTCACGTGACACGATTCCAGAATGGGGGCTCTTCGAGCTTGCGCAGACTCATCTAATATCTCATAAACTAAAGCACCAGACTTGCAGTGACCACCATTATTACTGGAGCATTCAGTAAGCTCTTTTAGGTACTTAATGAGGTGGTTTTCAGTGAGGGTGCACTCCTTTTTTGACCCATAGATTTTACTTCGATTTTAGGTAGGGTTCTGCATTTTCGGATCATTCGCAGAAAAACCCTCCCGAGTAAAAATATTGCAGATTTGGCTTTCTCCGGAAAACTGAACTTGGGGACTGCCACTTGTAAAAACCTGACTGTTTTTTACCTATTCCTAGAATCTTAAAACAACTTTTGTGATTCTCTTTTTTTTTTTTTAATTGCCTTTTCCTTAGTGTGTGTCACAAAAGAATGCCTTTTGCATCCTTATCACAAAAAGGGGGTAACCTCTTTATGACCGTAGGCGAACATGTCTGGCCTTCCCAGCCGCTCAACTTCATCCTTCCTTTTGGACAAGTCTCTTTCCGAGACATTCATTTGCCTTTGTCCGGCCTTCTTTTGTTGAAGATTGAACTCATACTTACTTTCCCTTGCTGGCCATCCACATTGGTGACAGAGATCTGTGATTCATACTTTCTCTGTCGATGCTGTTAAGCCAAGGAATATGTTTCACTAGGATGCCTTCCACATATTTGCAGCCTTTCTTGCCCATAACTTTTGTCGGGCGGCAGAGAAAAGCTCACTGAAGAAAAGCTCACCAGAGAAAGGCTCGCCACTCTTTTGGTGGATGTGGAGAAAAGTCGCCTATGAATTTGTGAACCTAGCATTTACCCGACTGAAAACATTAATTCATCAGAAGTATGTTTGGATGTCATATGTGCATATAGTTATTTTGCACATCACTATCAAATATTTTTGTACCTCATGCACACCATAAGCAGTCTACCGGAAAAAAAAAAAAGAGAAATACTTTCCATAGAACGGTAGTTAAAATATATTGAGTGAAATTTAACATGAATAATAGGCTGCAGCTTCAGCAGCTCCCAGGTTTTTATACTGCAGTCGTGTCTCGTTACTATGGACACCGTTAATACGTGTCCATATTAACGAGACATCACTGTATATTGAATTTAACTTCCATTTAGTAGCAGCCACTGCATAAACTATGCCAAATCTTCACGTTTCACCACTTGTTTAAGAAGGTAAACTCTCAATTCCCAGTCCTTCTAATTGAAAAATGAGGTAAGTTGATATATTGCCTTCATTGTAAATATGTCACAAGTAAATATGGAAACAGCGCGAAAAGGTCGACATGGAAGTGGACTGAGAGCTGCAGTAGAGTGCCCTGCTTTGAAATGTATACCTCCTGTGTGAGGGGTCTGTAAATATAGTTGCACTATTGATCTAAATTTATAACGACCACCTTGCAAAAAAAACTGACTTCATGGTTAGCTTTTCCAGGTTTGTCAAAAGACGAGCGAGCTTTTCTTCGGACCCGCCACAAAGTGGGTGACCTATTCTGCGGTGAGCTTTTGCCGCATGCAAGTTAGAACAACTAAAGGAAAGGTGCCCTCCGCTTTGTTGAGGACCGAAATTTCATTTGGCGCATCCAGCTGAAGAGGCCACGTCTCGAGATGGGTGAGCATATTTAATTAACTGTGTGCACTTATTTCGGACAAATTAATCAATTTGTGGAAGGCTTGGCTCTCATTATGTTGTTTATGAAAATTCTGTATCAATAAATTTGGTGACCTCTCTTCTTTACCTAGGTTAACGACACTCAACATCATAAAACACTTAATCTATGAACGAAAGTAAAAAATACTCTATATTTAAGGTAAAAAATTGCCCCAAAAAACTCCCTCAGAGTTAGATGAAAAAAACACTCGAAAACGCAGGACCCTAGTTATAGATCGATCACAATGTGCAACTTTTTTATGTGGTCTGCATTTACTCAGTTGTGACTGTTTCTTGATTTTATCAATTAGTCATATTTTGTTGGTGCCTATTTAGCTGTATTTTTGCCTATTTAGTCTGTAAATGCAGTGCAAGCTCAGTTAGGCTTTTACTGCATTTGGCTTAGTTTGAAGGACATCAGGTGGAAATGCTAATGCTATTCATGACCTCTTATTGTCAAGGTTGTCATGGTTCACAGGCTTCATTGAGAAAAAGAAAAAGAGTATTTACATTATGGTTTTTAGTTTAAATGTATAAAATGTAGAGCACATTTTTTTATAGATATTTTATCAATTTTTAATTTACCTTTGGTGTGTTCAAGCACGTCTATCTGTAAGCAGTGAAAGGATCCATACAATTCGCTATCTGTTTAACGACAAACAAGTCCCTTTTAACGCTGTATTTGCTGTGAAAGTTCCTTGCACCATGTCTTTTCTAAATCATTACTATATGAGGTTGGACAACAAGAGGTGCTACTCTTCTGATTGAACTAATATGGATGCCCAAGTCAGAAAAACCTACCGTAATTGTAAAAAGTTTTGTCTGCACTCATGGTGAGAAAAGCAAAGCACTGCCTTGATAGCAATGCACAAATTCTCTGCATGCTGCATTCTTGATGTACTATTCAAAGAGCGACTTTTCTTGCAAACTAATCTTTCCTAGATTTTTTTTCTTTTTAAACCTGTTATACGGAATTTAAAAGAATCCCAGATGGGGAAGCAGCTGTGAACTGTTTGTGAGTGGAACATATATGCCAACATTTTGCCATATAGTACCTATATGTGCTTTGGTCCTCATAACGATGTGTGCTTCTTTCCTGTTTTCACTAATGGTCAACTATGGATGGATTGCAGCTCTATGTCATGTAAGAAAGGAAATGCTTGCTTTGTCAGCTTCACTTTTGTTTTTTCATGACAAATTTTTTTAGGGTTTATGGTGATATGGTATATACATGAAATTTTTTTTTTACTATTGACATTGAGGCTTGCTGATGTCGAGCTTTGTTTCCTCTAAACAACTGTTTTGATTTGGGAAGTTTTATAGCTTAATCTCACTTGGTAACGGATTGTTCTCTTACCAATAAGTGGAAAGGCATGTGAGTAGCTTTATATGTCCCATTAACCAGCCTGAAGATTGTGGGGCAATCAAGTCTAGGTCATAGTTTAAAACATGAAGTTGTGTTGGAAAAAGCCTTCTGCTATTTTTTTCACGCTAGAGTTTATCAAAAGTTTGTCGGAGACGCTTTTCTTGCTTCTGTGCAGCATTCACAATTTCTTCACGACCCACACTACGTCATCCGCGTATTAGCTTTTTTAGCCTTCACAACCTTGGAATTTGTGTTGCATTGAACTGTGGTTTTTGCTAGCTGCACTATTTGAGCAGCCTTTTCAAAAAGTTTTGTCATAAACTGGTACTTTGTACTCCAGTTATGATAATTTGTACCAAAGCAAAAAGTGTTTTATGCCTATAAGCCCTAGGATGTAGCTGATGGTAAAATGGTAACTTTTAGGATGAAGAGAAAAATTGAACAAAACAATAGTGGGCACTATAATTTTTGTTGGTTAGCATCACCTAACAATTGCCTTTTTGAATGGCTGCAACTTTCCACTTATGAGGGTAAAGACTTTTTACTTTTGTCTAATGCAGTTATTTTTATCATAAAAATTCAGAATTTTTGCTTTCATTAGATGTTCTATAGCTACTGCAAAGACTTCATGAATAAGAGCTCTGCAAAGACTTCATGAATAAGAGCTGTGCAGAGACTTCATGGAGAAGAGCTCTTTTTGCATGGGCAAAATGATGTATACTCATTAAGGTAAATATGAATAAATAAAGGAAACTTTATTGATTGAAGCTGAAACATTGGTCTGCAGCAAGGTGACTTGTGCTGTATATCGTTTGGACAACTTGCAGGACATGTGATGTGCATACGGTATATTTATAATATACTCAACTATTTGTATGCTGCTACTTTCATTCAACTGGTAGCATTAAAGACAAATCTCTGCCTCATAGTATTATGCTTTCTCTATTTTTTTTCTTTCTTAAGGATGAAAATATTTTTTAGACTTGTTGCACATCTTTAGTGTGTGTGCAGTTTTTCTACCGCAACATGTATTTTGCTAATGTTTCAAGCTCCAAGAGACATTTACATACAGCTGTTCTCTTCTCTTTTTTCCTCTTTCTGATGTCCATGGATTGAAAAGAAGTGTACTGTCTCAAATAAAAATGCTTTTCGGCATTTAAAAAATGCTTGCAAACTATCTAGCACTTATTGCATACATTTGATCAGTTCTGTCATTTTTTATGCCATGCACATCATCTCTACAATCTACCAAATCATGTGCATCACTGTTTGCAATATGCTGTAATCTAAACTGCTCTTGCTGAGTGGATGCCTAGAGCCCAAGGCTTAAACAACTGCCTTCCTCTGGGAGGACCAGCCAGCGATTTTCTGCCATAAACTGTATTGGTGGACAACAAACATGTTGCAAGTTGAAAGCAAGCAAAAATCTTGAAAACATCAGAAAAACGGCACTTCCATTTTTGTTAAACATACTTGTTGACTCAGGTTGTAGCGACCAACAACATTTTGTTGGATGGTCTTTATATGTATTTACTGAAAAGAAGCCATCTATTGCCATATAAGCAGAGCCCAATTGAGTATGGTAAAGTGCAGTGGGTGTAGGGTCACGCTCATGTCTTACTCATCTGACATTTAATAAACCAAAGTTTTTAACCAATTTAGTTCATCTGGTGAGTAAACATCAGTAGCTCTCTGGGTAAACGGGAAAAGGCTGAATTAGAAAGCTCGAATGCAGTACTTATGGTCTTCTAGATTGAACTTGGGACCGAGGAAGTAGCATACATTGATGTTAATGCAAAGGTGCAGTGAGCTGGACAAGAATAACTATAATAATCCGTGGCGCAGGGGCACAAAAGACAAACACAAATCTCCAAACACAGCTAGGTAATAATAATATTTATTCAACTCGGAAAGAGTTGCAACACCACAAAAGGCGAGGAGCCCATACCAGGACTTAAAACGTCCGCCTGGTTCTGTTATCGAACCAGGGACCTCTCCATTTCCAGTGGAGCAGTCTACCAACTGAGCTAACCAGGAGTTAGACGTCAGTATAGAGCAAACGGGTTTTAGCAGCTGCCACCAGTTTAACACCAACAAGTGTGAACGGCCTGCACTTTTGGGTTATGATGATAATGCAAAGGTGCAAGTGAGGTGGACAATAAAATAATATTGCTGACTGAATTGGGTAAAGTTTTAAGCTATTCATGGAAGTGGACTTTCAGTCTCTAAGCATATATGAAGAAACTTGCTGACCATCAATCCACCTTCTTCTCGGTTATTTGCCTACCTAACAGTGGGGACAAAGCCGCAGCCTGATTAGCGGCTGTCGAATGAGTTACTACGGTTGTTCATGGGTGAACACACTCTGAAGGCTTTCAATTTCATGTTCCTAAAGGCATCCTACGATGTTTAGCTGCAGATACTAGCACTCGCTGGTTCCTTGAGCCCACTTTATTGGCAGTGCGTGCACGCTACTTCCAAGGTACCATCGTGTCCTCTAGATGGCCTTAATGTCTCCCTAGCATCTTGGTCTTTATTGGAAGCAAAACTTTAAAGGAATCAGGAATTATACTAGTGTTACTTGTATAGTACATAACTCTGTGTGCTACAGATGTGCCACAGTTATCTTTTCAGGCTTTATTTTCGTACGATTGGTTGCAAAGTATAAGCATAATAATGTGGGGATATAGTTTTTATTCCTGTCGACTCCAATCTAAAGTTTTTTTTTGTATATATGTGCCATGACTTGCTAAGTCATAGCAAACAACATTGTTACCACTGTAAGGGTAACGATGTTGAACACTGATTACCACATGAAGACATTAACACCCAGTTTCTCTACGGCAGAGCACAATCGCCTAATAAAGCTTCTGCAAGCTCTGCGTGACATTCCTTAACATTCGTTCCATGGAGCACTGTATTTTGATGTAGGAACACTACTCCAGCCGACTAACATCCATTTCCAATGACGGTTGAAAACATGCCGATGTTTGCGATCTTCTGTTTTCGTAATCCTTGTGCGTTGGTGCCATCTTGTGGCATCCGTAGAAAGCAGAGGGTTTGATGTGCCAGTGACATGCCTTCGAATTCCGGTTGGGTCTTGATATTCGTCCGAATAGAAATGTTGCCACGATTTAGTAAGTGACCCTCGTATATTCTGCAAGTTATCATGGGAGGGAGACAGTAGCTGAACCCTGTTTCTTCCAAAAAAATATGCCGAGGCATTTCCAGCGTTGCGAGCTGTCCCTCTTGGGTAGTTATATATCTGAAACAAAAGATGATTGATTTTTGACACGTTGGGTATTGCGCAACGACACCAAGTGAATTGCAGTACCGATGTAGTCTTCGGACGCCCCAAGTCTCGTGGTCAAGGTGGCTGCCGAAGATTCACATTCTGAGGTTTGAAAAAAGAGGGTCTGGTGTCAATTGCTTTTCTCGGCTCATTAGTATCAATGTTTTAACGCGGAATGTGTTAAATGGGTTGCTCCTATACACTTCCTGTAACACACACCTGTAACGAAAGAGCGTCACAGGAGTGCAGCGTCAGCGTGCGGCTGGGAGAGAGTGCAGGAGGTGAGGGGGAACAGACCAAGGTCATGTTTCGAAGGAAATTGGCAGATGCGAAATAGCAGGGTCAAAGTGTGGGCACGCGAATGCAAGAGATGTGAACGTCACATTCCACTTCCGCTGGAGCTTCGGCGCAAGGCTTTCTTTCAGAAGGATGTTTATGCTGTTGTGGCACAAAGTGCGTACAAAGTTCATCTGTGCAACATCACCGTGAAGCAAAACACTGTACAATAGTGCGGAAAAGGGCCAGCTTTTTTTTTAATTGCTGTAATTGCTTAATTGACAAGCCATTTGTTTGTTATTTTGGGCATACATACGTTTGGAGTTGCAGCTATTTGGATCGACAACTGTAAGTAATGGGGAAAGCTCGGTGGATCACATTGACTGCTGGAACTTTCATAACATTTGATTATTGGTCACTTACTTTGAGTAAAACTAGCAATCTCTGAAAAAAAAAAAAAAAAATAACATGAATAATTTGTTTTTTTATACTGTATTGAGACATCAGATGTACAGATTGATTAAAACAATATATGTGTGCTGGAATGTTTGTCTTTATTGCATACCGACAAAGCTCTAAATGGCAAAGGATGGGTATCGACAGCTGTTTTTCCTACTACATCAATGATTTATGTATTGCAGAAAGTTCAAACTGCACCCGAAGTAATGCTAACTGTGAGGAAAAGATGAGAAAGAATGAGGTCATATTACTATTAAGTAAAAATTTAGAAGTATAAACAAAAAATTACAGGAGTACACTTGAGACTGCTTACGTGTAGGAACGCAAAAGCGTTATAGTCTTGCGGGAGAAATGGTTTCGAGTAATGTTTCTACACATGTAAAGGTTTAGGACAACGTCCTAGAGATCGACGCCAAGTACGGTGTTTAGGACGATGTCAAGGACGGCGTCTAGGATGCCGCTGAGGATGACTTTTAGGACGACGTTGAGAACGACGTCTAGGACGATTTCTAAGACAACCTTAAGGACACTGCATAGAGGGCAATGTCTAGGACAACCTCTAAGGTGACCTCAAGGATGGCGTCGTCCTTGAGCGTGCGATTGAGCGATATGTGCTTATGACATACTTTTACGGCCATCTTTCGTGCACAACAATGCTGCCTTTTTGCGCAATGGGACAAGTAAGGCTTTCACCATGAAACTGTCAATGGGGGAGCCGAATTCTCTAGAGAGTATACTATGCAAAGAAGGTGACCAAACACTTGCTTCTTATCTGCAATGTTAGCTTCACCTCCATGTCGAATATACAGAGTGTTTTTTTTAGCTGCACCAAATTTTCAAAAAAAGGGAAAGGGAGGTAGAGTAATTTGAGCCCGGGGGAAGTGTTAGTGGCCATGGCGGCCTCCAGAAAAAAAGTGAAATTAGGTAATTAATTAGCTAATTAACTAAATGTTTTAGCTAACTTTTTAATTTTTTACTTGAGAGCACATAATGTATTTAGAGGATTGAAGATCGACCCCAGTATGGTAGAGCCGTGTCGTCAAATTTGGATAAAAAAAATTCCTAGCAGGTGCTACGGGCTGAGAAATGTCACTTTGGTAAATGGCGTCAAACCGAAACTAAACAGGAAAGAGCGCCGGTAAAGTTATCGCTCCGCTCTTCCGGGCATGCGATTCGTCATTATCGCGGCCGGCTCCACTTGCTTAGGTGCGCTGGCCGCGATAATGACGAATTGCATGCCCGGAAGGGCGGAGCAATAACTTTACCGGCGCTTTTTCCTGTTTAGTTTCGGTTTGACGCCATTTACCAAACTGACATTTCTCAACCCCTTAGCGCCTACTAGGAATTTTTTAATCCAAATTTGACGACACAGCTCGACCATACTGTGGTCGATCTTCAATTCTCTAAATACATTATGTGCCCTCAAGTAAAAAATTAAAAAGTTAGTTAAAACAGTTTAGTTAATTAGCTAATTAATTACCTAATTTCACCTTTTTTCTAGAGGCCGCCATGGCCACTAACAGTTCCCCAGGGCTCAAATTACTCTATCTCCCTTTCCCCTTTTTTGAAAATTTGGTGCAGCTAAAAAAAACACCCTGTATACTACACATACTATATACCGAGAATCTGAATCCAATGGCTTTCGATTTACTTCACTCCTTCACCACCTTTTTGGATTTGCATAGGCTGCAATCACAATTTTTAGGAGGTGGGGTAATCTTTCTTAGTTTTTGGTGAAGTAAATATTTTGGCATGTCGGACTGGGATAATAGAGACCAATGTTTTTGCACTCGCCGTAAAATACCGCAGAAACACCCATTTCATTCAAGCGCTTACTATTAACATTTCCCAAACTTTAAAATTCTGCAAATTGTATGCTAAGTGCCCGATTTGACCGGATAAGTGCCTATGTCTAGATTATCCCAGTTCTTAGTGACAGTAGGGTGAACACCCCCCGGTATTTTACGGTAAGTGGTGCAGAAATATGGGTATTTTTAGAAATATAGGTGGTTGCTCCAACGAAACTGAGCAGAAAAAAATGGATGAATATGTGCAGGTTCAGTTGTGCCACCAAAAACCCCCCTCCCCCCCCCCCCCCCCCCCCCCCAAAAAAAAAAAGTTGTTATTTTTGTGCTTACCATTATTGTCTGTTGCATCTGCAACTGGTTGAAGTGGGTCTTGAGCTTCAAATTGAAAACACAAGAAATGTTTGTTACTTTTCCACATATAAGTGATACATGATACAGCATGTTTGTGCCTCCCTCAAGGTTTCAGAGCCAAACCATTATCTGAGGCTTCCAAAAGCAATGCATTTCTGTTTTAGCTACATACATAATATATACAGCACTAAAAACACCAAGAATAAGGAATATCGACCAGATATAATGGTATCGTAATTATTGCATCTATTATGTGTGAAGCATGGAGTCACTAACCATTATTTTCATCTGCTGACATTGATGTTGCTTCCACTGGGACCCAGGGCACAGCGTCTGGCACCGAGGGGCCTCTTGACGTTGTTGTTGCTGGCAGTTGTGGCCTTATGTATGGACGTTGTGAGTGTACAGGGGGGTACGGCCCGGTTACGACTGCTGGTACATTCGGCCTAATATATGGCGGACTGTCAGTACTGATTTTACTTGGATGCACAGGCTGCAAAGTTTCAAGCTTGGCTGTAACATAAGGGGTCCACATTTCCCACATGGTTGACAATGCTGGCATTAATGGTAGCCTTGGTCTAATATAAAGTGGGCTTTGAGATGGCAGTATACTTGCTGGTAGTATGCGTTTTGTTACCTTAACAGGTGTTAGTGCTGGCCTTGCATAAGGTGGTGAAATAGTCTTGCCTGGCACCTCTGATGCAGCAGTTGGTAATGTGATCCGCGGTACTGACAGTAACTTGGGTCTGATATACGATGGCAACACCTCTGTTGAAGGCTTTGGAGGGAATATAGGACGTTCTGGTAGTGTGGGCCTTGTGTACAGCAAGGACAGTTCCGGATTTGGTGATGATATTGTCGGTACAGCTGGCGATGCTAGCCATGGTAACTCGGGTCGAACATATTGTGGTGACGCTTCTGTAGGTGCAGATATTGTGCTAGGTACTGTAAGTGTCTGTAGGATTGGCCTTGTGTATGGTTCTAGAGGTGGTATAGATGGTTGAGCTGGTAATGTTAACCACGGTATAGGTTGCAACTTGGGTCTGATATATGATGGTGACGTGCGTATTGGCGGAGGTGCTGTATCCGATATTGTGGGTGCTGGTAGTGTAGGTCTTGTATACGGTGTGGGTGGTTCAGGGCTTGAAGCGGGTGTTGGTACAGTTGGTAATGTTGTCCACGGCAGCTTTGGTCCAATATACGGTGGTAATTCACTTGCTGGCATTGCTCTTGGAGTGGTCGCTAGAAGTGGGGGCTCTGTATATGGTGATGACTGGTCCAAAGTTGGGTATGCTGTTGGTGGTCTCGGTGGCAGGGTGGTGCCTTGTGGGCTTCCAGTTGGCTTGCTAGTTCTGAAAACAAGAGTTTGTGAAGTTGTGGGTGTTGTATTCATTTCAATTACCTTGGGAGTTGTTAATTCTGTCGAAGCTGATGACATTGAGATTTCTCTAGTTGTCACTGTAGGTGAGGCTTTGCTGTTAATAGATGCTGTTTGTACCCCTGTATTTGTGGATGCCATAGTAATTGTGGATATCTGTAATTCTGTCATGGTGGAAGGTGGTATGACTTCTGTAAGTGTGGATGTTGTGGGAGTAACCGCTGTGGCTTCTAGTACTTCAGTGCTTTGAGGCATTGCTGTGTCTTCAGTTGTTGCAGTTATTGCAGTAAATTTGGTTCTTGCAACTTCTGTTGCTAAAGGTGTCGCAGTTACTTCCATAGTCATATTTTCAGTTGTTGTGTCTTCAATAGTCTGGGGGGTTGTAACTCCAATAATCATAATTTCAGTGGTTGTGTCTTCTATAGTATGGGGAGTCGAAACTCCTGTAGTTACATCTTCAGCTGTTGTGCCTTCAGTAATTTCGGTCGTTGTAGTGACAGTCGCTTCAGTTAATATTTTATTAGATGTAGGTTCTATGATAACCTCGGTAGTTGGAGTGGGTGTTGAAATGCCTATAACAGTTGTAGTTCCTATTTTGGGGTTATTTGTAGTCTTACACAATGCTGTAGCATTAACTGTTAAATCTTTTGTGGTTAATGGTGCCCTAGTGGCTTCAATAGTTGTAATTTCAGTAGTTATGGGTGCAGTAGTAACTTCAGTTGTAGTTTCATCTGTTGGAGCATTCATAGTATGCAGTGTTGTAGTTGCTTCAAAAATGGTTGTTTCAATTGTTTGGACACCATTAGTTGGGGGAGTTATAGTTTGGAATTCAGTAGTAGTAAGTTTTGTAACTTCTGTGGTCTGGATTTGAGTACTAGTTTCGACTTCTATAGTTTCACTTGTTGGGGTTTTGGTAGATGTAGATGTTGAAACTTCCGTTATTATTGGTTGAGTTACGATTTCAGTAGTTGAAGTTGTTGGCATCTTAACATTTGTGATTGATGATAAGGCCTCAGTTGTGCCTATGTTTGAAGGATCAAGTGTGGTGGTTGCAGCATACTCAGCAGTCGTAGACGCAGGGCCGATGGTAGTGGTAGTAGCCAGTTCACTAGATTTGGGTGACATGACTTCCGTGGTTGACCATGTTATCAAAGTAGATGGTGGCATGGTGGAATTTTCAGTAAATGGAGATGCGGTTTCTGTAATTTTGGTTGTAGATGTGAAATCTTCAGTTGTAGATGCAAGCATTCTTGTGGTAATCAAGACGTCACCCTTAGTCGTAGGTGTAGTCGATACTTCTGTTACTGCTGTTAATGTTGTTTCAACTGTGCTCGCATGTGTAGTTGTAGACTTTATCTCGCTTGTAAGTTCTACAGAGAAAATTGGCGTTGATGTAGAAAGGATGTCTGGTGCTGTAGAAGTTTCCGTTCCAGCAGGGTCAACTGTGGTGCTGGTGATTTCAGAAATAGTAGTTTCAGCCCCTGTAGTGAGGGGTGTGGTCGTTACGTCTTCCATGGAAGATGTAGTATCTGGTACCAGTGATGCCATTGGCGTAACCGTTGCTGCAGGTGATGTAGTGGATGATGCTTCAGTAGAAGGTGGACCTGTCAACACTTGTGTTGTACTTCGTAGTGTGGTGACTGGTGGTGTAGTAGTAGAGACCTCGGTCGGTACTGTAATTTGCGTTGGTGGCAGAGAGGTTACCGTTGATCCATTTTCTGGAATATAGTCAATTCATGGGTCAGATATCTATGTACTACAAAATTGTGATTATAAATAGAGCGATTAGGGGTGCACTTACCTGAATATGTAATGCCCTTAATGGCAATGAAGACCCTTTCAAAAGCGACCATTCCTTCAAAACCAAGCTAAAAAGAGATCAAAGCAGTTAGTCATGTTAGTGCTACATTAAGATTTACTTAGAAGACTCTTACACTCAATGGTCTCCGCACATTTATGATCAGAGCAACGGTGTGATGCGTGTGCAAGCTCACCTGGAATGGATGTCCTCGTGAATCAGGTATGTGGACACTCATGGCAGTCCAACTGTCGGGGAATTGGAACCTCCAACTGGCCCAGTCTTCCCAGATCCGAAGGAGGTCATTTCTTTTGGGTAGCTTCTGCCAGAGACTCAAGTAGACGCGGTTGTCCCCAAACAGCTTGTACTCAAACTGGAACGTCCGCCCAGATTGAGCTGCCCCAACTACAGGACTCCAGAGCCGTGCGATGGTACCGCAGTTCTTTTGGGCTGCCACACACTTTTCGGCGCGTACAAAGGTGTCGGAGCCATCTGGTTGAGTGAATGAGATGTTCAAAATTGGATGGGGCTAAACAACCACTTTGGCAATCTCATTCCCATTGGGGATAGCTTATACCCGTGCAAAACGGGCAACTCGAATGCCATTTACAACGAATGGTTTTGATGATTCTCAGCATGTATATAATTGGAACCATATGTTCATTTTCACTAAATAAAATGTTAATTAACAATTTGTAGTTAATTAGTTGTTATTTATCCGGCTTATAGCAACGATTAGCCACCTTGTTCCCCTGGCCATATACTAAGCAGACCGCATTAGTTCGCAGCTTTTTTTTCTAATAAATCGGTTCAAATTAAAATCAAACACCCTCTATATTTTGAATTTAGGTGTGTTCAGGCCCTCAGGGTGGCCGCTGTGTGACCTTGGCATGTGCAATTACAAACAACCAGTCATTGCTAAATTATCCGAGTTTCATAAAATTCCCATACCTTTCGATTAGACGCTAACACACGGTGCTGTCGGCAGTGGGTGTAATTATAATCGGCGGGGTTTGGGAGGTAGATATTCCAGATAATCTCCACGGCCATTATCTGGCTGCGTTGGGTAAAAGTAGGTAACGGCTGCGCGCTACCTTCTAGCCACAACTGGACATTGAAGCTAACGAAAGCACGCTGGCATTCCATTTCCCATGTATTTTGTCAATAAAGGCAACGTGGCCGTTATTTTGATTACATGCCACTTATAGGGTGACCACCTTCCTGTCGGTGGAATGCGGGACACCCGGGGAGGGGGGAGGGGGGGGGGGGGGGGGGGTAAGAGGAGGACGGTATTTTCACGACTCTAGAAATGAGTATTCACCAACGTGCACACCCCGAAATCCTGTGCTGTCCGAAAGCGTATTATACACCTGAAACTTGTACGCGGCCATTAAACTAAGATAAGTTTCACTCACAGTGATATATTTTTGTTTATTTGTAATGGTAAATATTTTATTAAAAGTATCCAAGTTGAAAACATAAAGATCTGACTGCACAGACCCCAATGCATCAAAAGGAAATAAAAAAACTAAATATTTTTCCGCTTATTGTTTCCTGTCGATACTTACTCTTATATTAACATGCTCCTACACAAAAAAAAAAAAACTTAGTTTTTTGACCGTTGTGAGTTGCAGATTTTTTGCGTTGTGTGGCCGTCTTTAAAAAAAAAAGCTTCACAACAATCCTTTCGCATGATACAGTATGATTTGCAATTAATTACAATAGTTCATTTTTCAGCTTTTGGTAAGCATTTTTGCTTGCAATATTTTGCCATCAAGGGGAAAGGCCACACGCGCATGCGCGTTAGTCCTCTTGCAAGAACGGCGGTTGCTTCCCGCAGTGCTTGGCAAGAAAATGGCATATAATCGAGATTCACACATTTATCAGCGACCTCCCGCTGGTTCCCCGTTTCCCGTATGTTTCGAAGCGCCATGATTTGCGCAGTGAATGTTACTAGGGGTGTCGCGAACTTTTGTCGAACCAGATTTTTTGGTCGAACTTTCGGGGTTCGACGAACCTTCGAACTTTTCACCAGATTCGACCGGTTCGACTTTGTGGACAGTGTGGCAGACCTTGATACAAGCATGTCTAGGTTTGGAGAATTTCTTTTCTTATGCAAAGGGTTATTTTATTTTGTGAACAGCTGCAATTGAAAGAAACTAATTCTATTCACTGAAGAAGTCAATAACTTAAATTTTAGTACTGTATAGGGGTGTCGCGACCGGCCGCGGTTCGAGTTCGACCAGGTTCGACTTTTTCGAACTTATAGTAGAAAGGTTCGTCGAACCTTGTATTGAGGTTCGACTCGTGTGCGCATGCGCGAGAGGCTGGCCAGTTGGCATCGGAGTGGATGGTAATGGCTAAGAGATGAATTAAGTGCAGCGCTGATCGGCTATTTCAGTCAATACAGTACTAAAATTTAAGTTATGAACTTCTTCAGTGAATAGAATTAGTTTCTTTTAATTGCAGCTGTTCACACAATAAAATAACCCTTTGCATAAAAAAAAGAAATTCTCCAAACCTAGACATGCTTGTATCAAGGTCTGGCCACACTGTCCACAAAGTCGAACCGGTCGAATCTGGTGAAAAGTTTGAAGGTTCTTCGAACCGGTTCGACCCAGTCGAACCCCCGAAAGTTCGATCAAAAATCTGGTTCGACAAAAGTTCGCGACACCCCTAGTACTGTATTGACTGAAATAGCGATCAGCGTTGCACTTAATTGATCTCTTAGCCATTACCATCCAATCCGAAGCCAACTGGCCAGCCTGTCGCGCATGCGCACACGAGTCGAACCTCATACAAGGTTCGACGAACTTTCCACTAAAAGTTCGAAAAAGTCGAACCTGGTCGAACTCGAACCACGGCCGGTTCGCGACACCCCTAAATGTTACGACAATGTGAAATGCGGGACATTTTGAAGATTTGGGAATTTCTTGCGGGACGCGGGACCACGAGTCCTCAATGCGGGACAGTCCCGCGAGTCGCGGGACGGAGTAGTCACCCTATGCCATACTAGAAGCTCGTTACATGGCACGTAAACAGCGTCTAGGTAAGGATCATGGCCCGGGCCCGGGTTGGGGGGGGGGCATGAGCCCCGACGCACGCACCCCCCCCCCCCCCCCCCCCCCCCTTCCCCCGTAGTCTACGCCTATGGACGTCGTACGAGCCTATCTTCGAAGTTAGAACTTGGAAGGCGCTTTCCCTCAGCGCTCCACCGCGCTGAAGAGTTTGTGTCGCTTCTCCGCCGTGCAGCCGGCTTTGCGGAGGAAGCCCCCAAACAGTTTCGTTATCAAAATATTGGTCATTATTTGAAAAATGTCGGATTAAAAAAATATAATGATAATAATAATATGTGATGTACGTTTGAATCGAATAAACTGATATTATGTTTGAAAGTTAGACCATAATAATAAAATTTACATCAAAAAGTAAATTTCTTATGACAGCCTGTTAATTGCTGCCTCCGTTGCGCCAAAGTGCTTACCCTGCAACATCCCGCTACATTTTGCCAAAGTTTGAGGAATCTGCGCCAACATTGCGCTAAAAGTCAATATAACTTAAAATACTGCAACTATAATAGCTCAGGCCCCGCTACATGGTCACATTGCTTTGCGCGAATTTTCGGAACTTTCGATCATAGCGTCAAATATTGTACAATTTTATTCGTTTTTATCAAACGCTGACAGTACTCGGAAATTTCGCAATATTTCTCATGTGCGTGTTAAGAAAAGGTTTAGAGAAAAGGAAAGGAGAAGATTGAAGGGACACTGACATCCCCCCAAAAATGTGTTTTCATTTTATAGCAGGCGATTCAATATGGTGCCAGGAGTCTACCCAATTAATCTTTTGCTACAAAGTCACGTATATTTTTAATAAAGTAAAAAAAAAAAAAACAACGTAACTGCAGCAACTGCTTGAAACCATAACCGAAAGCTGCGCACGGGGGTCGGAGAGTGCCGGAGTCACGTGGAAACACCCGACCGTGCGCACTTTTATCCCTCCGGATTTTTTTTTTTTTTTTTTTTTTTGGAGGGGGGGGGAGGGGCGCGCAGCAGACGACCTGCGTTGCGGGGACCGTTTACCGTGCGATTGCTTTGCAGTTATGTTTGTTCCGCTCGCTGTTCTGCACCTCAAGATGAGTTTTTTTCTGCATTGAAGAGTTGGAAATGAGTAGTGAGGCTCCGAAAATAATGCCCCCAAGATGGTACGTGAATAGCTGCCTCAGAGGTCCTGCATCCGAAAGTGGCATTGTGCGGCAGAGTCTGCACAAGTTTCTGAAAGATCAGCGGGATCGGGACCAATGGCTGCTGCAAAAACAAAAAGTACGCCACACTTTGAATTGAACCTGGGTCCGGTGCGTGTGAAGCGGACGATTGTAGGTCGGGAAGTTTGCTGCCGATTTCCCTCCAACAAAGGCACCCCCTAGGCTCGAAGTCGGGCAGCACCACGCCACATTCGCACCTAGTAAAGGATTCGTACGCGTGCATATTCAAATCGAAGTACGCCCTTCGTGCTTGACGTTTGCGCGAGCGATCTCTTTAGCCACGAGAAGGGGGCGACAGTTAAGCGACGTCTTCGTGCTATTGGCTTGGTGGTCGGCGTGTCGTACAGGATGAATACCAATTTTTTTGATCGGTCCAAAATTACTCTTTTGAGGGAAGAGAGGTTCGCCGGTACCGCGAACGACAGTCCTGAAGTAGAGGTCCCACGCCCGTCGTCCGCTGCCATCGCCAACCAGCCCGCGAGTCCCACAATTCGATACGACGCCATGTTGAGAATTACGCAGTGAACGCATAGAATGCTTCCGGTTCTCTGTGCAACTTTTTTTTTTTTTTTTTTCAATCGACTTAATTGCATTTTTTAGAAGCCACAAAAAAATGGGTTTCATTTTTTTCTTTTTATTTTTGATACTGAGTGTGTGCCCGACTTTGATTACATTTGGTGTTTGTGTCTAAAACTTTAGAAAACGGCCCGTGACGACGGAGAAGAGAGTGAGCGCGACTCAAACCGGCCAGTTCTCGATCGGCGGTTTACGGGCGGAAAGAAACCGAATTTCGAGCCGCAGATTCTGTTCTGGGTACTTGGGCTCTCATGCGTCATGCACAACTAAAACCCTCGGCGAGCATAGATACCCAATCAGTGTCCCTTTAAGAAAAGTTCTCGAGGGAAAGGAAGGCTGAGGAGGAGGAAGCAGACAGAACGCTGGAGAGAGGTGGTTTTCTTCTCTCCTCTCCAGCATTCCGTCTGCTTCCTCCTCCCTAGCCAGTGGCGTACCACTTGTCTTTGACTGGGAGGGGGGCAAACCAGAACCCCCCCCCCCCCCCCCAGGGCCGGGGGCGGTGCCCCTTGGTATTCCTGTGGCGCCGCCGGCTAGTGTTTGCCCTGCCCAGTGGCGGCTGTTTCAGGGGGGGGGGGGGGGGGGGCAAAACACATGCCTTGCCCCCCCCCCCACACACTGAGAACTGGGGGGGGGGGGGAAGCGCCCCCCTTGCCCCCTTCCCCCCCCCCCCCGGTTGGTACGCCCCATGTCCCTAGCCCTCCTTTCCCTCGAATATAGCTAGCTTCGTTGTGTGCGCTACTCACCGCGCACTGGTGCACTGCAATGAAGCAACAATAAAAAATAGACATCATGAATTTGTGTATCTTGTCGATCGCCACAGCCAACGTTACTAAAACACTCAATCGGGAAAGAATCCTTGAAACCCGGACCACTCGCGTCCACCGAAACCGAACGGGATAACGATTACAGCGCCGCCCTTTAGCGGCACTGTAATCATATGGGGTGTACAGCTTAGAGCGATAAACTGGCAGCTGAAAGCAGTGGCGTAGGCAGAGTGAAGTTTGGGGGGTCGACCCCCCCTCCTCTCCAAAATGCCTCCCCCCTCCTCCTCCTCCTCCTCCTCCTCCTCCTCCTCCTCCCCCCCCCCCCCTACCGGGGGGACCTCCTCGCTCCCCTGCTTACGCAGTCGGTATTGCACGGGGCATGGAGCAAAGGGAAAGCGCGAACTATCTCCAACTTATACACCGACACGCGGCTTGACGTCACGGAGCTGCGGCGGCGCTGCGATCGCGCCGGGATCGCGCCGGAGCCGGGGGGTGTGGGCAAAAGCGCGCACGTTTCGCATGGGCGTCATAGCATTTCAGCATGTCGCGAAGCTGTGTTGCCGTTAATTGCACCGAAATGTACAAGAAAAGCAGTGGAGTGAGTTTCCACAAGTTCCCGGCAGACTCTGAAAGGCATAGAAGGTGGATAATATCCGTGGATCGAAAAGAATGGTCGCCTCGCGCGAACGACCGTTTGTGCGGCAAACACTTTCTTGGAGGCAAGTGCGGCTTCCATTTCAATCTCCGTTCCGAGGCTTGTTTATGTGCAGGGAAACCGTTGTCAGATCGAGATCACCCGGATTTTGTTCCCACGGTGTTCGCGCTCAACGCACCGGCCAAGCGCTCGTCGGAGGCTCGCTACGCACATGCTACCGAGCAGAAGGGGATCGGCGACAGAACGGCAGAGGTGTAAGCGTTACCGAAAAAAAGTAACGACATACGTCACTCGTTACTTGCGAATAAAATGTACGCGTTACTGAGCTACGTTATCTAAAAATAAAAGGAACGCGTTACCGCTACCGATAAAAAGTAAGGCACGTTACTTCTGCATTTCTTTTTTAAATTATGATTTAACACATTTTACGGTTTTGACGATACAGGTCATATATCAAGCAGAAGCTGAACATAAATACTTTATCTCTTTTTACGGTTTCACCTAAATACTTACGAGAAAAAACGCAAAGAAAACATGGCTTGACGCCTAAAACACGGAAACAATTGAAGTGTAATTTCTTTAAGGCTTGGGAAGTAGTAACGACTAACGTAACTACGTTACTTGAAATAGTAACGTAAGTACGTTACCCGGTACTGTGTCAAAAACGTAACGAGTAGGTTACTACGTTACTGGAAAAAGTAACGCGTTCCTGGTAACGCCGTTACTTGTAACCTGTTACCACCAAGACTGCAGGACGGACAAACCTTTACTGGTTGTAATGCCTTGTGGTCACGAGGGTATGAAAAATATCATACCCTGACTTGAAGACGCTCTGTGTATTTAATCAATTAGTGAATACACACACTTCCGCAGACCCACAGTCTGCTGATCCCGCCGGCAGTGCGGAAACAGACTCGATATAATCGTAGGCCTCGAGAGACTTGTAGGCCTGCACCGTGTCGGCAGTAAACTGACTTGGCGAAAACTAAAATAAACGACGACCTGAGCCGTCGACTTCCGTGGCAGCAACTTTACGTCGGAAGTCCAGCACTGTTTACGGCGTACGGATCCTCGTAGGCAACGCCGTCCACGCACAGTTTGTTTCGATACCGCTACCGTTCAGGCTCGGGCAACGAGCTCAAATAGTCGGGCATAGCATACGACATACGTTATGAAGAAATACCACGCACAAATAAAGATACAAGCGTCCCTACAACGTCAACAACGAGCGCACGCCATAGAGCGCAATGGCGAAAACACGGAGAGCCGGGATGCTTTTGCCCACATAGCTACCGCGCATGCGCGGCCTTCTGGCCGTGTTGGTAAACAGAGCCGCTCCGCGTGTCGGTCTATATGCTTCGGGAAAAGGGTTTGTGAAGTAGAAAATGCTCAAATAAATAAAATAGGCAATATTTCTTCATTCATCTTTATTTGATGGGATGGAGAACTTGATCTCAGATATAGAGACTGGATATTTCGAATCATTGTGGGGTGAAGGATGGCAATTTCCAGGCAAAGTATATCAAACTATCCTTACTAAAATACACAGTTCAATCAAACAAAAGCGAACATAATAAAACGAACACATTGTGATAATACGAAACAATGTCAGTGATGTAAGTACTATTGAATGATTTGCAAAAACAACTGCACCGTAAGCAACGGGCGGCGCTGCGCTCACGCACACCTTGAGTACTGATTAGTACTCAAGGTAACTGTAGCTAGTTGCTTCAGTAAGCAATTTACAGGCTCTCTTGATCATTTCATTTATGCCACGCGCCTACATATTAAGATGCAGTCGCCTGCGTTCACGGCAAATAATATCAAGAATGTCCACCGCTTGAACTTCAATGTCGCGGTGAACATTCAAAAGCGCTAGACCCGAGCAGTTCTCATTCGAAGTCGACGCTCTCGCGTATGTTTTCAACCGTCGTAGTGAAAAGAGCGCGCGCTCAGCTTCCGCCGTTGTTACGCGAATGAGTCGCTAGGATCCTGAGGAGACGAGGGACATTTGGGAATAGGGCCAATAGGGCCCCCGGACAGAGGGCGACCGCCTGTAGCGCAGACCTGACGGGCGTTTCATGTTTCTCCCTCTTGCATTTGGCAGCCGATATGAGCAGCTGGCGTTGGAGTACAGGGACTGAAACCAGGCCTAAATAGAGCTCCAAAAACTCTTCAGCGCCAGGAGCTGCCCCGCTTACCAAGATCTTTGCAGGCAGAAGCGACGAAAGTAATTGCAACGTACGCCGTTGCTTTTTAAATCTCCCGTCTAACTGTGTGATCAGATAATCTATGAGAGGAAGGAACACGGAGCGCTTAAAATGCTCTTGCGTGCTTCCAGCGGGAATGTTAGAGCGGTGACGTTGCCGACTTGTTACTCGCGCCATCTGAATTTCAACTTCCGATGTCTCGGTAATTGTAATGCCCCTCAAAGGGAATCAGATATCCCTCCGCTAACTCCGCATCCAATAGCGTTCCATCGTTTCCGTGACGTCGCGGCCAACGCGGGAGGAGGGTCTTGCCTTCCTGTAAATATTTGCCTTATCTTTCGACTTTGACTTAACGTTGTGAAAGCCACGAGAGGGAGATTAGAGTTTTCCCCCTCCGATGGGAACAAATACGACTTTCGGGGGTTAGGTTCCCCCTCCGATAGATACAAAGGCTACTTTCAGGGTAATGCGGATTCTTGGGCGAGTTGGTACTGAAACTTTCAGGGGCTCGGTTCCTTCTCCCGATGTATGTCTGTTTTCTCTCTTGTGTCCGTTGTTTTTTTTTGCGCCTTACACCCAGGGACGGCGCCAAGGGGATGCGAGGGGTGGCGGGCGCCTCCCCTAAAATTTCTTCTGCCACCCCAAGATGAAGCAGCTTTGTACACAAATAATTGCCTACGACGTAGGCTTGAAGACCCAGTGCAACGAGTGTCCAGACTTTAGAGCCGTTCATGCGTTTTATTTTTTTTTTTTTTTTTCTATTAGCTTCCAGCCACTGGAAGTCGTACCGCGGGTAGGGTGCCTTCATGTCTCCCTAACCGCGGGCGAGTAAGCTATCAAGCGCTTTAGAAAAAGCAGCTTCCCTCTGTGACGCCTGCTGCTTTTCTTCATATTCCGCTCTGTGGTGCTTATCTTCAGCGGAGACCGGAGACGTGAACGAAGGGGAGCTTAGTTAAAATCGAGGTCATGGGGAATGGACTTCTTCAAAACCGACGCGCCCCATCGCGGCGAAATACCACGCATTGCACTCTGGGAACTAGTTGGCCAC